GGACGTGTGGGCAGGACGGCGGGCGGGCGTACAGATCGATAAATGCGAAAGGCGTGTTCGCCAAGGGCGGAGACGACCCGCTCGCACGCGCCTCCGCCTCGCGGCTGGCTCGGCGATCGAACCGGGAGGACAGGCGAGGCACACTCCCACTCCCGATAAGAGATTGCAGGATTCGCACCCACAGAAAACACCCCCCCCCCACGGAGAGAAACAGAATGTATATCTCCAAGCAACAGAAATAACATAGAACGGTTTCTTTGAATCCGGATTTTAAAATCTGGGATGAGGTGTCAGTTTTAAATTATTCTCATTGAAAACAAATATATTTTATACTTAGGACAAAGGGACTTGTTCCACTGTGTCGGTGAATGTTCCTATGGTAGGAACAGGAAAAACAAATATTCGTTACTTTTCTTCTGACACGAAATAGTACAAATGAAAGAGACAAGTAGACATCATTAAAGTACTGATGAATAGACATGAGATTTTTTTTAAATTTGAAATCCCTTACTTTAGGCACCTAAAATAGGATTTAAAAAAACAAGAACAAAACAAAAAAACATGCGGTATAATTTCTTAAATCGCAGTATGAAATTTGTCATGGACGTAACTTTTCACGTTTATTTTATTTTCCTTCGAACCTTTTAATAAAAACATAATGAACTATTAAAAAGAAAACAAAACAAGCAAAAATATAATAAGTTCCTTTACTTGTCCTATTTCTATATATGTATGTCTGCATATACATACAACATTATTTTATTTCAACCTTTTGTGACTGTATGTTTTTGTGTTGGAATGTCAGGGCTTTTTCCTCTCCTGATGAAGAGCGCAACCAGAATAATTCAGATAACACGGATTTCAGCTTCTATTCGAATTTCTGTCAAGAAACGCATTCATGTTAGTTATAAGTGGTTCCAATAACACCGAATGCTTTTCCAGGGCGAATAACAATTTTTAGGCACTAATGGCCAAATACGCATTTATAGACTCTTATAATGTTGTTCATTGTCATCGTAAGACAATGAAATGTTCTCATAGATAATTTCGAGTGGGTCCTTCAGAAGAGTAAATAGGCATTTACCTAAAATCCAGTTTACTGATAAGATCATTGGCGATACATGATGAAATAACAATTTACATATACTTTTAATAATACTAGTGAATTTGCACAAACATTTTGTTTCTTAAATATCGGTTTATTTCTTTTGTATATAAAAAAAGAAGGGAGGCATTGTATCAATTACGGAAATCCCGCTCGTGCAAAAGTAGTGCAACCGGTCTTGAGTTTTTCTCCGACGCATGAGATTTTTCGCGACTGTAGAGAAACGATTCGCTGACTGTTTGCATTGCGGAATGTCGTTCACCGAGCAAAATGCATTTAAGTTCACACCTCGGTTGCTGCCCTAAAGAACGCAATTTTTTCTCTGGAAATGTAATTTTCAGTTATATAAAATGAAAAGGTATAGTGTTAATAATTGTTTTTAGTCGAGTTATAAAGCGGTAGACAAGCATTAACATTTTGTAAATTAGAAAATAAATGTGACACTATCGCGTTGAAAGACAGAAACGTGCAGGGCATTTACCGAGAGCAAATTCACACAGATAACAATTCACAATCAGGAAACATCAACAAACTAAACCGTGTTTATTTTGAGTCTACTGTTATGGAACTTAGTTCACTATACACGCAATACATAATAAAACAAAACAGTTTATTCTGTAGGCCCAATTTTAAAAGTATGAGTAGGAAAAAATCATTGCTAGAAATGCTTCGTCACGAACACCTGTTATCTTCAAACAAGGTTCGAAGGGACAACACCTTTTACGGGTTAAACATGTACTGACACAGAAATTATAAACCTCAATCAGCTAATAAAAATGAATAAAACATTAAATGAATGTTCAAAATATAATACGAAAATTTAATACTGAAACCAATCTGACACGTACGCATCAATACATCAGAAGTTTAACTCTTATCATTGCCTTGAAACGAAAAGTCTTTATCAAAATAATTTGACCGTGATCACAAGGTAAAAAAGGAAAAATACCTATCTGATTTAAATTATCTTCCCCGCCATTTGTCAAAGCATTAATACGCGTAGGAATGGGCCGGCTTCGATATATCGTTACGCTAATTGCACATGCAAAGTGTACATAGAAGGAAGAAAACTTACCATATTTCTGGTTAAGGTACGTCTTTTTCTTCTAAAATCGCCCTTCCACAGCTTGACTTAACATTAGTGTTAACAGAAATTCGCGGATAGTAATGCTTAGTTACTTATACAGCTGATCACATGTTACCATCTTGATTGCAACGGAGGCACACACATTCGTTGTTCAAATGTTTCTCCCCGCCGGTACTTCTCGTAGCAGCACTTGTCAGCGCGTAGGTCGGATGGGTAATAGGATAAAAAAAAGCATGGGAACGTACACTAGATGGAGGGAAACTTTAAATTGACGCAATTCTGTACACACGTATCACTAAGTGTACACTCCAGACATACGAGAATGTTAATAATACAAGTTGAAACTATCTTGTCCTCCACTTTAGAATATGGCTCTATTAATGCGTAAATTTCTCTAGTATTTATTGTACTCACGGATTATTGCAAATTAAGTCTTCAAAAAAGGCACATTTAACATTTTGGAATCTGACTCTTCTCTTACCTAAAATAAATTATATACTGTAAGAGGAGTAGTAAATATTATTGCAATATGTTGCGCAAGGTCTTTCTATGAAAGATGCAATAATGTATCATAATTCATTACAACTTGTCAATTTTATCTATATACAGTCCAAGGAGACAACATATAAGTACATTTTTTAGAACATTAAGTTACATATTTAAGTAAAGATATATTGCTTTGAAAACTGTTCTCCCTACACTGATGAAAAATACCTATGATCAACATTACATTAATTTATTCCTTGTTTGCATTAACTGTTGGTTATTTTCTCTAATTTACACCACTAAATGAAATAATGTATTTAAAACACATGAACCTGGGGTACTTTTTAAATCAACTCAACAATTTTTAATTTTATCATGAGAGATAATTTCTTCTGATTTTCTTCTTTTGCACCATTGTAAACGACATTAATTGGGAAGCTTTTTGTTTGATGAGTTTACAGATACATTTCCTGCTGTTTTCCATTTACATATTGCAGATCTACAAATGTTTGTGCCATGCTCGGATTAAAATATCTGTTCTTTGGGGAAATTCTATTATCTTCATTTTGGATGTGAGAAATGACAGTTATCATTATGTTGCTTGGATCCCTTCATTTGGAGTATATTAAAACAATGGATGCATAATGCTTGATAATCCCTTGATTTGGAGAGGCATCGTGGTTTCATGGTAAATACTCATTCTTTACTCCTAAGAAACAAAAGATGTCAGACCTATAGCCCAGCAACAGGAAAATAGATCAGTTCGTATGCAACTAAAATAAGCATTTATCAGTTGGATCTATGGTCTATGTCATTAGTTATCTGTAGAGCACATTGATGTCTACACAAAAGTTTACTCTTTCAAGGTTCGTCTTTGCATACAGTACATACCTAAAGGTGGCTCCACACATTCGTTATTCAGCCAGTAGCAAGCCGAATCCCAAGTAGTGGGAATGAGTTGGTTGCTACTTGCAGAGTGACGAGCATTCGGGCCTCACCCTATACACTGTGTGTCAGTCTGTAGGACACATGAAAGGGAGTGAACATTCGCCAAACACATCAGCTGTCCAGGACTGGGCAAGCAGTAATGTGCTGCTGAGCAAATGCTGAATGTCTGGAGTTGCCTAAAGGACTGGAAGTAATTCATAGTAAAAACAAAATGAAAGCTTTCAAGTTGTAGGAATGAATTAAACAGATTTCAAATATTAAATAACAATTAGAGAAAAAATAAAAAACAAAAAAAGAAGATCAAAAAAGTAGAGAGAGAAAGGAAAACCAATCATAATTAAAGGTTACAAAATACTTCAGGGTGAAATACCATCTTGAAGAACTCTGCAATATTCATATTCAAACCAGCCATAGAGTTATGAAATTTTGGGAAATGTTTAGTTTATCAAATTATCTGGGAACCTCAAAATATGTGTAAGGATCTATCACCAGTCAATGACTAGCATAATCCAATCCCAAAAAATAAGAATAAGGATTTGTTGAAGATGATCTCTATTATATCCAGTCAGTATGTTGAATTCTATCAGCCATTACCAGAGCAGTGATTTTCATCAATTAACAGATGAATTTTTATAATAAATTCAGTAACAAAACATATTTACGGAATAACTGTCTTTGTTTCCAGTCATCTAATACAATTCATAAGAAGAAATAACATGTAGCTCTTCCCCTGCCCTGTAAAATTTGAAAATTGTAACATAGACCATTATTCAGCCCAATTCAAAAGTAATTTCAATAATGTAGATTGAACAGTACTCATAAATAAAAATCAATGAAAAGCTTCAAAGTACTTCAAAGTGTTAAAGTCAACTTCATGACATTCGTTATAAAATAAAAAAATTCAAAATACAGTCAACATTACAAAACGACACATATGACAATGAAGAAATTAAAGAGAGAAAAAAACTGCTAATTTCAATTTAGAATTATTTTTTACTAGTTGCATGATGAGGAAGTTCTTATAAAAATTTTCTAGAGAATCCTCTCAAAGCCTTATTTAAATGACGTCACACAATCTTTCAAGTTAGACTTTAGGTCTGTGAAAATACATCTCCTTGAAGCAAAAAGGGGAAAATAGTTTTATACAACATGCTTTCAAAAAATGTGATGATTGCCTTCATAAAAAAGCAAAAACTTTTCAGGTAAATTTGTATCCCAGGTAATTCTCTTACATTTATTTATTTACTGTAATATTGTAATACATAAAAGTTAAAAGAAATCATCAGAAATAATGATATTGAAACAAATTAAAGTTTCAGTAAAATAAGAAAAAACGATTCCTTACGAGAATTTTACTAGGATTTTGTTTTACAGCAATTGGAAAGACAAAATACTACAGATGATCAAAGGTGTTCTGAAGAACCACAGGAATGGGCTATATTATTAGTTCATAGATATGTTTTATTATGTCAGCACAAACACTCCATTTACTGTGTAGGCAAGGTTTTAAGTAAAATTATTTAACTCTCTCTTACATGAGAATTTTTTACAGAATTTGTTCCTTTTAAATTGCTTGTTTTCTCCCACTTTTAATCTTTTGAATATCTTTCTCAAACTGAAATATTATCTTATAAATTTTATCAATGTAATTGCAATTTCATAAGTTCATGTGAGGAAAGTAAAAAACAGAATTTCATCATACATTTTTAAGTGTTGTGCCTAGTAGCCTGATCCTTTCTTTCCAATATTCCCTTATTCACTGTAATGCTCCATGTTCTATCATTTCCTTGGCTTACCTTTTTGTCTCCCAACTCTTGCCCTCTATTTCAGAATATGTAGGGCTTTAATGTCCTTTCGATTTCTTTGATACTATTCTTTTCAATAGGTAATTCCATATTTTGCAACAACTATTAATACAATTCTCACTTGAAATATATAATAAATTTGAAATTCTAGCTATATCTATATAATAAATATCAACAATATTATTACGAAATACTGTAGAGATAATATGAGACAGTGAGATCCTTGCTCATACACTTAATTGGATACAACTGCTCGCTTGCAAACCTAGTGACGTTACCTGGAAAATTGGTGACATTTCAAATTTCAATACTTATACAATACCTTTTGGAATCCTGTAGTTTCTAATAAACCTAATATTTACATTATTTTATTATTATACTATTATTATCAATTTTTCTTTTACATTTATATATTACATTTGATATTTTTGGAATGTACATGTAAATGTACAATAATACAAGCAATACAAAATAGTTATTCGTTGATTTAAAATCTGCATTTAATTGGAGAAAGTGAAATATTTACATAAAAAAGCACTTACATCCTCGTCATAAAGAAATCAAAATAAATGATTCTTCTCATTTCATTTATGCAACCAAATGTAGCACATACCTTCCCAGCCCTATACAAAAGTTACGAACAACCAAATGAAAATATTTTAACCATTCTGTGATATTTAAGTAAACAAAAAATCTCTGAAACTGTGCACTTAATATCAGAATGATGATGACAGGTTGGCCCAAAGGGGGCACTAGCTAATGTCTCCAGTTATACAGGGTCTTTAGCTTAACTCACAACCCATGTGTCTGCATGTCCACCTCTTGTTTTGGCAATGCATGAAATACCTTTGACATCTTTTTCACTTTTAGCGACCCACAGCCGCATGCACTCAGATTTCGGACAGAAAGAATGAGGCTAATTTTGGTTGGGAGAAAGAGAAAACACTGCTGTCCTTGTTAGCCTTCAATGTACTGCAGCCACTACATTGAAAAGAGTAAACTCCAGTGTCTTAACAAGCAGTGGTTACTTTTAGCATTTACTCGACGGTCATTTTTTGTCATTTTAAAAAAAATATAATTTAATATTTTTTATTAATTATTTTCAATAATTATTAATTAACTACTGATTTATGTTTCATTGATATTTTTAATAATTTTATAAAGACTTTCCTATTTGCATAATAATCAGATCCAATTGTGATAAAACATTATTGTTATAAATAACGAATCGCTTGGCAGTAAAGTTTCACATGATATCTTTCTGATTTCTCTCTGAGCCAATTTTCATTAAATAATAATTATTGTTATGCTGGTGCTAATAAATTGATAAACAGTCATCACTTCTCTCCACATCTTCAGTACTACAATTTTATTTCTTAAGCATTCTGGATAGAATCGCCTTGATAAGTTTTGTTTCTTGCTCATGTATCTGCTTATCCCTTCCCACCCCACCCATTCTGTGCAGTGTGAAAAGCTTTTGGTGTGTGAGCCTTGTACCTTGATTATTATACTATCTTGAATGGGAAAAGCACAGAAACAGGAAAGTTGCTGCAGCTGACTGTCGCCTCCTCTGCCGTCTCAACGTGCGAGGCAGGGCTGTCTTGAAAGGTGGCAAGAACATGCAGTTGCCAAATTGCCAAAACAAGAACAAGTACTCTCAGACATGGGTAGCAACTTAAACTAAAGAACATATATCACAGAGTGGCATGTATTGTCTCTTTAGCATTTGTTATTACTTCAGTAAATATGGCACTAAGAACTTCTATGAAATCTGTTACCCGAATTGTTAGTCAAACTTACATTATATATAATTTCATTCAATGCTTCATTTCAAGTATGTTTACAGTTTGAATAAAAATTAAATTTACAGGATACAAGTAATACATTTTTGACACTCTTCAATACCCAACTTTCAGAATTTTGTACAAGACGACAGACAACCTATATATGACTTGTTATGTGGTATCTTTTCAATACCTTTACCCTGAATTAATCTTCACCTTTCTAATCAACAATAGGAATGCAAATGAAAAGTTTTCATTGTTGATTTTGTAAGATAATATAGAAAATTTGATATTATAACAGCCTCAACTTTCAAACACTTGCATTGAACCATCAATTTCTGCCCAAGAAATTTCTCCTGATCCAAATAATAAAATACTCTGATTTAGCAATTTATGTTAAAAAATGACAACAACAGAAATACATAGAGGCAATGTCTTTATTGACTCCAAATCATTTACATAAGGAATACATTGGAAATGGCAAATATTTGTGATACCAATGAACAGATATTTGCATGTTTATGTGTAATTAATAAAGCAAAATGGGGAATGGCTGCATCAATCACTAAAATCTCATGATGTATTGTGATGCTTTTGTTACCACAGATTCACATTTCAACAATAAGCTGCCATTTTACAGCAAATCAAATTAATGTTCTACATACAGAGCAAAATTCAACAGAAACAGACAAGTTCTATGTATTTATACATACAATATCACGAAGCAACAATTTTCTGCTTCTGGCAAAATAGAAATGAATACTTTGAAATATCAACAGTTTATTTACAATATATCACAGGTATATGATTCAGAAGAAATTATCAACAAAGAAAAACATGTACAAACTATAACAATGCTAATTAGGACACTGATACCAACTTCTATGCCATCAAATATTACTCTGAGTAGTAAATTAAAAAGAGCCCGTTGAGATAAAGAAGTTATACTTATTCCAGAGTTGTGCTCCAATTTCTTTTACTGGATGGGAGGAAACTGGTCAAGGGTAGTCTTCTGGGTCATTCCTTGATATGTTCAGTCAGTCACATTACCCCAGGCTCCTTCCGGAGAGACAATAAGAAATGTGACACATTCTCATACATGAGGAATGTGATCATGGTTGCAGGTGTGACGCGTGTCAAATTAGGGCTCAACCCCTTGTAAAACCCACGCACACCCTCATACCTGAAACGGAACCCAAAGAAATCTCATTAAACTCAATTTTCATTAACATATTACAGGAATAACCCAGAAGATCTAAGCAGTGCTTCTACAGATTAAATTTGTAAACAGACCTGGTAATATATTTATGGCATTTGTACAATAGAGGGAATAAAACAGCAGTAAGGCAGAAGATTCAATCACTAGTGGAGAAAAATTATTCAAAGTACTTAACTGATGATGTAGGAGGAGGAAATTTTTGGTAAGATGAAAAAGGCATTAGATATTCATTTTGGAGTTTATCCTGCCCGTTAATGGATTTATTGAATGAAAAAGAATTACGGCATTAACGGTAATGTTAATTATCATTAAGTGGTATACTGCATTTCTTTCAAAAATTTTTATGAAGTTCATTTCTGAACACAATATCTCATTTTTTCTTCAATATTCTGTGAAACACAGCACAGAGTATGCTTTGGGCAAACCAATAACAACATGTAATAAAATCCAAGATTTAAATATTCAAAGACATTTCTCTTCACAACACCACCTAAAGAAACAGGGACATAATGGTAATTTCTAAGTTGCGAGCTAAAGCAGGTAAAGCTTGTAATGTAAATGCAACCAATGATCGGTAATTATTTCATCTCATTGTAGCATATGAACTCACAATAACTATTTATTTGTCTGAGAATTATATTGTGATTACGAGTTGCCAATCAATGATACTTGCACCAATCCTACATCACTCATGCATTCCATCATGTCACTCAATAGAAAAAAATAACAGAACACAACAAAATATTCATTAAATAAATAAAACATTTCAATGCCATTAAGTCTATTTTAATTTCATCTGAACGGTAGCAGGCATATAGGAATTTTCCTTTATACAATCACAAATTAATTTTTACATTTATTTCATATTTTCCACAAGTATTACTCATGTTATGAGAGTAAGAATTTCATTTCCATTATTACATTACTTGAAGCAGAAATGAAACATTCCCTTGATCAAGTGAAATTTTTGAGTGGACAAGAAAATAACAAAATACATCAACTAAAACCCATAATCATGAATAAAATAATGATGGGAAGAAAAAAAAAAACACCCTCTGTCCACAAAAATCAAAATACCTCCTACAATATACACAGAATAATATAAATGCACACTGCTAATAATTGATATTATCTTCATTACACATGAAATCAATTACTTTGCTACAAACCACAACCTTGAACCAGCAAGGTTGCCTCATAAACATAAGGAAAATAGAAAGAAAAAAAACATTCATTCATACTGCATGTGCTTCATTTAACATAAATAACACTTAAGCTCACACATATATCACAAAACCTCTTGCACCAGCAAGAGCAACACCAAATACCTTCAAGTCACTTGACCAAATGATGCTCACTTTAGTTCCTACACTGTATTTAAAAAGTTTTAAAAAAATAAGAGCTCTGATCTTTTGAATTTTTTGTACAAACACACAGAACTGCACACAATTCAAAATACAGTGTGCAGATTTTTCCTTCAGAGTAGGTATATTTAAATATCACATAGTGTGATTTGCAAAGAACAGACAATACAAGAATAGAATTCAGGAACAAAACCACAAATCGAGTCAGTTATGACAGTCAAAATAAAAAACCTTTAAAATTTCAATATAATACAAACCTCCAAAGTACAATGCAATTTTACATTAAAAAATTAACATTTCAAAATAATATATTTAGTAACAAAAACTGGAAGGTTAGAAAATTCTAAACAAACAATTAAATACATCTTTCTTGATCTTGCAATTTTACTGTCTCTCAAAGTTCAGGTCTATTGAGTTCATTTTCTTTATCATTTGATACAAATTGTGCAGTGAAAGAACATGTAGCTGTATAATTGCTACAAGGATATGAAAATGACACTATTTTAGCTAATTTTAAACCACATAATCAAAAATAAAAAATTTAAACTCTTGAAAATTTTAGGCAATATTATATATTCACAGCTACAATATTTTATATCAAAGGAGCAACAAAATCATTGAAGAACTCAGTCTTATATATTGCATTTGAAAGTAACCATAAAAGTGTCAATATACATTGGTAATAATTACACATAATCAGATTATTTTACATTAAAAGATACATCCTAAACATTGAAATAGTCACTGGAAATTTTGAACAACATGAATACACGTAATAGTAGTAGCAGTAATAATTATAATAATGAAACATACACGATTTCTAATGATACACGATCATGCCAGTCAAAGTTGCTGTTTTCAACAAATTAATCTTCTGCAAAAATTAGTAAAACAAAATTGGAAATGGAATTCTGCAAATTAAGGAACTTTTTCTCTCGTCATTTCTAAGACAAACTATTATTTAACTTTTGTACTATGAATTTTTAAATTAAACATGAAAGAGAAAGTTTATGCAGAGAATCATTTTGAAGAAGACTTAGTTCTTAAGTTTCCAAGAAAATGTTTAATCCCATTCAAATGAAACAATACCAAGTACATGCATTTTATTGTGGGCAAACATTTGAAAATAACAAGTGGGAGTTTAATAGCACAGATCCCTTCCCAGATAGTTTACAGGAATAAACGATAAGGCAATATATCTGCTTTTCTTCCTGTATTCAAAATGAAAAAACAATATGAAAAATTGCAACTACCTGGGAATGAGCTGTTAATGTAAATATTCCATCTGAAAGATTAGAATATGCATTGAAATTAATAGAATAACAAAAGAAGTTTTAATTAAGTAATGCAGATAATTCTGTTTTCACAAAGAAATCTTTTAGACATAGTCTTGAATTATTACAATACTTTCATTTATTTTTATAATATTCCAGGAAAGCAGTAACGTATGGCATGACATTATTTGGATGTGGCATGTATGTATTCATAATAAACAGTAAAAACATTATAACATGAGATATTGAGTACACAAGGCATAGGTACCAGATTCATGTTTGGTTATAATGACAGGAACAGGAAACAATCTACTGATTTTTTCAAGCAGGAAAATCAATAGTGCATGACACTATGTCACTCATGTTTTTGACGTTTCTCACAGTTAATCCTTCTTAACTATTTGCAGTAAATTTCTCATAAATGAGGAACACAAGACATATGTTGGGAGTGACGTGTAGAAGGTATGGGCAAAGTCCCTTATAAAATCCCCTCGCCCCTTCATACCTCCATGTGCGGAGGACACAGTCAAGAGATCCCTTGTAGTCGTGGTGCTGGTCCTGCAATCTAGCACGCACTACTTGGTATGGATATGTAGCAGCAGCAGCAAGCAATTTTGAAAGAGCGGCAAAAGTAAGGTACTCAGCTGTCCCCTGAAAAGTTAAAAGTAATTCAATTAACAAACAGACAGACTTGCCATAAAACTGATTAGGTCAAGAGAAGTCTTAAGGGTAAAAAAAAAAATTTCAAAATATCTCAAAACATTATACCAGTTTTGTGTCTATTGGATATCTTCTATATTGGTTGTAACTATTTTTCATTTCTTCATATGTCATGAACTGTAGAGCACCATGTGAAACACCAAATATTCCAGGAACAAATCCCTGATAAAGAAACAAAAAAAATAAAACAATAAAAATAAAAACAAGAATATTAGTCCAAAGTGGACTAGTGGCTGCAGCACAAAAATGACACTTAAACTTACTGGTTATTGAACTCAAATGTTGCAACAAAACATTTTTTTAATTACTATATTGACAAGTGTTCATAACATGCAATACTTTGCAAATGTTTACTTATGAAGTATGGTAATAAACAGGCGCTTGCTTTACCAACTCTCGTTTTTTTCACAGTTTCTGCATAATAACACCTTCACTTCACAAATAATATTCAAGAGAACCAGAAACTATTGTGAAAATTACAATAAATAATATGGGCATAGCCTTTATTAAGCATTAAGACAAGTATTTGCCACAATCACAACAATGAAGATGAAGAGTGCGTCACAAAGAAAATTGAATTGCAAGTATTTACCCGATACAATCCACGAATGCCTTCTGTGCGATATATTTTTGTAAGGGCATCAAGCATTCCAGCATAACGTTTATTATCTGGTAATTTGGCTGCTTCTATATCACTGTATTGTAAACACAATCTTGTTTTAACAACCCAGATAGGGTTTGTCATTACTAATGTAAGAATTCCTGCTTCAGCTGCAGCAATCATGTGCATTGTGGGCCCTAGTGGTTTCTTTGTATTTCCTCCTTGAATCCATGTTTTTATGGTGTTGTAGCTGAAAATAATCCAAGCAATATCCAAAATAGATGATGTTTTCTAACATTTTAAAATTTGATTTCAAATAACACGAAGCCTTCAACTTACAACAGAAAATAAAATCCCCAGGCACTGCCAGATCCCCAAACATTTGGGGTCACTCCACGATATAATCCACGTGCTCCTTCTTGACGAAAGATGGTATACATTGCGCTCCGTAAACCTTTGTATTGGGGAGTTGTGGTAGTCTGCCCATCATTAACTGCAACAAATAAGCTTGAATGAACAATGATCTAATATTTGAACAAGAAGTACCTATCCACAAAATAAACATTCAACAATTAAAGCAAAATTAGTTTTTCAAGCTTCTTTTGTTTTGTTTATATGGATGTATTTAAAAATATTGGACTTGAGCTTCAAAACATTCAGTATTTTTCAGTTGTGATACTAATTTAATATATGAAGTTAATAGGTTATCACTTTAAGAATCATTGCTTCATACCATGTCAATGTGCCACAACACAGGGTCATAAAAAAAAAATTAATCCAGATATATCCAGATTCCTTTTTTATAGCCTTTTATGTGGTCACTCCCAAGGTCAGCTACACTTATCACTCACATGGCAGCATTGATAAACATTTTTAGTGCTAGTAAATTATAGTACTTTGAATACCTTCCGAAATAAGGCAATGAAGAAATATATAAATAAGACGCAGATATGTCAGAACAAGTAATGAGGCGACAAACGTCATGATTTACAAGGGAGCAATTTTATACATACATATAGGGAAACATTTCTGAAATAACTGAAGGGTACAACTTTTTCAGAATTTTCAAAATAATGCAATAGCAAACGTGCAACTTCAACAGAAAGGAGAATCTTAAACATTCGCTTAAGAGACGCTTAAGGAAATAGCAGATGCTAAATAAAGACATCGAGATCAAGTGAAATTAAAATGTCCTTACCAGCAAATCGTATTTTGATTAGATCCAATGGATGCAAAATCAGGGTCGAAGCAACACCACCAGAGATGCCAGCAACAAGATGTTCATATTTAACGTGACTGAATACAGTGAAGTTCGCGTTAGGAGCAGCAGCTCCTCGGGTTTTCATCGTCGTCATTGCGGATGTGGTTGGTTGTTCTTCAGGATACGTATATGAAGCTGATGAACCATTTTGTTTACCACCGATGTCACTAACAACCTCCACCAGTGTGTCGAGACTAGGATTCCAACAACAAAAGTAAAATCGTTGGCTTACGCAACCTGCCCAGTGCCGTCCGTCACAGCGGCCATATTAACCTCAACCAACTACAGAACGTACAGAACCAAAGCAACTTTTTCCTCAATATCAAAGACAATGTATATGTTGATTATGCGCAAAATTATAGCGAACTCGTGTGGTATAGAAGGGAACTACCACATGTGTAACCTCATTGCCCGAATAATACACGGAAAAACTATAGATGAATAGATAACAGAGTATTATATAGATAATGTGTTAATCTATGAAGACGACTTTAGATTAGGCCCTCTATATGTAATACAGATAGATACAAAGAGCCTTGCTTCAGACGGCAGTAGATTGTATAGCTGATCTTTTTACAAACTTGCATAAACAACAGTAGATGGACACTCCATGGGGAGAATGTGAATGAGCAAACGATGCCCTCACTCACCGGGAGTGTCACAAGCGTATCTATGGTATTAAAATCAAAAAAATTATACGCGCACGCTTTCTTGACCTCGGCATACCTACCCCCATTCCTCAGTTGAATTCAATATAAATTATAGCCACAAGATTTCTTGACAAACTCTGATAACCAGAAGAGTTTGCCCTCGTCTAATAGAAAATAGTTTGCATCGAAAAACGAGCTTCACAATTCATTTTATAGTTCTGTCAATGAAATAATCAAACCCCCTTGACTAATGGGTACTATAATTATTAGAGCCCGGACAATGTATTAAATGTTATTTTGTTTCTTTGAATCTAACTTTAGGTACCTTTTAAAATTATCCATTTTCATGCATGAGATTGCTTCTGCGTGGATTTTTAGTGTATAAAATGCCTATTTAACCCTCGTACCATATCTGCTTTTTACTATCAAGAACTGTAAATACTTGGGGTATTTTTGGACCCCAAGCTTACCTGATAAGGTAATCACGAATCTGTACAGCAATATACTAAGTGTAATAACTGACTTAATGCAAGGATATTGTAACCTGCCAGGATGTTCAGGAAGCGGAATTGCAAGAACAATAAAATAGATATACTGTGTTAACACATTTAATGAACTATCAAAATGATTATGAGGATGAATGTGAGCATGCATATGTTCCATAGGTTACATGGAATTTACATTCTTTCCCTCTGGGTTTAAACAGGCATGTTCTATTCCTGCCACAAAAACATGTCTTGCCGCCTCCTTGAAACTACACTTTTTCGTTGACATTCTCGCCCGTGTTCATTGCGGGGAAAAGGGCGGGCAGTGGCCCCAAATAATGACACCGATTACGTCCTCGAAGCAATTCTCGCGCTCGATACCAAGGTTCTGTTATTTGGTGATTTCAATGCAAGACACTGGTCATGGGGATGTTTAGGTTCCAACAGGAACGGCTCCAATCTAGCCACTCTAGCAGCGACGAGACGGGGCATATGTGTGTGCGCACCCCAAAGTCCCACGTATTTCCCGACAACCCATCGCGGAACGCGCAAGCGACCGGGTATTATCGATTTTGCGATCGCGACGGGGGTTGATGGCGATGTACTGTCGTCACTACCCGAACTGGACTCCGATCACAATCCAGTAATATGTGTGATGGCATCTCTTGTCGCAGTACGCCAGCAAAGAATGCGAACAACGCGCGACACTGACTGGGTCGGTTATCAAGCTTAAGTGCGCGATTAGCTCGAGCAGAGACCGCTGGTGACAAACATGGATATAGAATCTGTGGTGAACTTGTTCACTGACACGGTTATGTCAGTTTACAAAAAGGTCGCGAAAGTGACGCGCGTGCCGAATTCTCGTCCCGAGCTCACAGAGGAGCAAAGACGGACACTGCAAGCGCTCCCCAGAGCAGTAAAGCTTCATCGCCGATTTGGTGATCCCGCAGACGGGAAGCGGGTGAGAGCGCTGAGCCGAGAATTCCGTGCGTCTCTGAGAGACGAGAGAAACGTTCGGTGGAAAAGTACAATAGAAGAGTGCAATCTCCACGATAAACGCCGATGGGGCTTATCCAAAGCGCTGGGGCGGCAACCAGGAGTAAATCGCCCCATTCAAACCAACGCGGAAATCCCAAGGCTTCATGGTCAACCTCCTCTGGCACCGGTGTATGTGTGGGACGACGCTGCAAAGCCAAGGCTTTGCTGACTCGCTCGTGCGGCAGTTCCGACCCAACGACGCCGGAGCCAGCGATGCCCACGTGACTGCGGAGCACCTACGGTGCCTCCTGGCAGTCACGCCGAATACATCAGCCCGTCGCGTAACGGACGGAGAGCTCCGCGGGGTGCTCCGCCGTCTCAACTCAAAACAATCTTGCGGCCCTGACGGCATCATCATCGCCCATTGAGAGCCGTTGGCGACAAAGAGGTTGAATTTCTCCTGCCACTCTTCTATGCCTGTTTAGCACAAGGATATATCCTGCGTCCGGGGAAAACAGCGAGCATTTACTTAATACCCAAGTGCGGTAAGAGCCTCTTCCTGCCGAGTAGTTATAGACCCATTAGTCTACTCTCGCTCCTAGGAAATATTAGAACGCCTCATACTGCTGCGCTTGCAGCAGGAAATACGACGTCTAGGTCTCCTCCGAGACGAACAATTCGGGTTCAGAGCGGGCCATAGCTCCGTGTAGCAGCTGACGCGCCTCTGCACCGAGATCGGCCTCCCTCTCTCGAGAGGCGGCAGAAGCTGCCTGCCGTCTTCCTGGACATGCGGTCGGCCTTCGACACGGTATGACATGAGGGGGCACTCTTATGTCTCATCGAGTCAGGGATAAGCTGTTGCTATACCAGGTTGATCGGCAGTTGTCTCACAGAGAGAACGTTCAGAGTGCGAGTTAACGGCGTACAATCGTCCCTAAGATGCGCCGAGGCGGGAGTTCAACAGGGGAGCGTGCTCTCCACCCACCCTCTTCAGCTTGTACGTCAATGATGCGCCTCTGCTAACAGAAAGGAGAACGGTAGTTCAGGGTTGCGGGCTCCTGATGTTCGCGGACGACTTCGCGTATTACATGAAATCGGCGAAAAGCAAGCAATCAGTGAATACCTGAATGAATCCTTCGCCGCCTTTCCCACCTGGTTCCGCCAGAAACGCCTGACCTCAAACCTTGAAAAATGCGTGGCCGTTAACTTCACCCGTCAGAGGGCAGACCCCGAGGAAACGGTGTTGCTAGCGGGCTCGCATCTCCCTTGGTCCCCATGCGCAAGGTACCTTGGTGTGACTCTAGATCGTGGCCTCTATTGGCACAAGCACGCCAAGGACCTTCACCACAAAATTCTTGCGAGGACCTCCCTCTTACGTCCCCTCTTTAGGCCCCCGGACCTATATCTTTCGCAGAAGCGTCTCCTTTTCACCGTCTGCATACGCAGCTTATGGACCTATGCTTGCGAAACCTTTGCGGTAGCGTCGGTCTCGACCTTACGCCCGATTTGGGCGGCCGAGAACCGAGCGGTACGGACCGCCATGCGACCGCATCTCCCTCCTCCTCCTAACCGCCACCATAGGAACAGTGTAACCTACGGGGCCTTGGACGTAAGTCGTCAGCTGCCGGAGGAGATCCGCCGGAGGGCACACACGGCGCTCACGCGGGTGCTGAGCCCGAAAACTCCGCGGTTCTTGCGCGAAACCGGCCGGTCGGGGAACTGTGAGGTCCACCGGACGTATTTTCCTCCAAGGTGGCCCAAGCAAGTGGCCTCCGCGTTCCGGGCGCTACCGCCGCAGCTTCTCGCAGAACTCTGAGGCTCCCAGCGGGACGAGTGAGGCACCGCCCGTTACAATTGCCAGGGCACATTGTGTCTAGCCGCCACGGACGCTTGGATCAAAGTCGGCGCCGTGGCACACAGTGCAGTGAAAATAGTGTTTTAGGGTGTATATAGTGGCGTGTGAAAGTGCGTATGTCAAGTATAAATAGAACCCAGTGTGAATGTGCGAGTGAATGAAAAACAAAACCAAGAAAACTAAATCAAATAAATCATCAAATAAAATACCAACATAGTGTTAGCGCAAATCTTAAGTTGGCTTCCCCGGCGGGCGCCGGTGCGGCCGTGGCGTGCAGCTGTGGCGGCGACAGAAGAGCCTGCCGCTTGACGGAAGCGCGCCGCCGTGGCCACGTGTGAAGGCACCATTAGGCCGCTTGCCCACGCCGCGACAGAAGCGCGCGAACGTCAATCATCAGGGCTCTTCGCCGACCCTCCGGCGACAGGTACCTGCTTCGGTCCCTTTGTCCGTCGTCGGCCAAGTGCCCTGATGATTGACGTTCGCGCGCTTCTCTCGCAGCGTGGGCAAGCGGCCTTACTCGCGAAGTTCGCTGCGGCCTGCGTCTCAATTTTTTCTAAGAACGCGGTTTACTGCCTGCAGCTGCGCAGGGCTGGTTCCTTCCCCCACAATTTGTCGTTGGTCAGTGTCAATACACAGTGTCATTTTGAAATCTTTCTTTTTGGGAAAGAAACGTTTTGACCGATGCGACACCGGATGCATTGGGAGAGGTGGTTGTCACAAAAAACACGAGGCTGTTCTTGGGTGACCGAGGGCTGGTGTGCAGAAACCTCCTCCTTTGTTTCCCTGAGAGCGGGTGGTCGTGCATCGGGCAGAGTTCCTGCCTCCTTTTCGCCGTCATAAATCCGGTCATAATTTTGTACAAAACACACGCTGCCGCGTTCGGCCCCCTTGTTCTGAGCCGCGGATTCCCAATGCCCCTAAGGACCCCTTCCCAAGGCGCGACCGCGGCGCGCTTCGCAGCAGCGCGACGCGTAGCATAGCATTGGTTTGAATGGAGGCCTTCCCACGTGCAGCGGGTGGCGGCTGCTGCGGCAGCCGACGCCGAACTCCAGCTACGCGAAGCGGAGGAGGGGGCACGCGCCACCGCTAGCAGAACACAGCTTTAAATGGGAGCATTCCCACTGCCCCACGGCCGCAGCGTTCTACCTGCTCCGGTCCCTTTGTTCGTCGTCGCCGAGGGTCGGTGAAACCTACCCCTCCAGACCCCACCCCCTTCCACGGACGGCGGCGGTGCGGCCGTGGCTCCGGCGGTGGCTGCGTCGGAAGGGCTCTGCTGCTTGAAGGAAGCGCGCCGCGGTCGCGCCGTGGGAAGGCGCCCTAACGGTTCAATTTGCCAGGCTTGGAGCGTCGCGAAATCAACACGTCTTCGTACTCAGAGCTGGAGTATCGTTACAATACATTTTATAAGTTATTTTCAGTAACATAACAAATATGTTTTTCATATTAAATATTTCATATATGGAATAACCTCTACCGTACGTAACCTCCAATTTTGGTAGATAATGCCTCAGAAATACTTTCTATACTAAGAGTTCGGTATAAATAAGTAGTTTACCAGGTTTATCAGACTTTTTTGCAGTTTATGACTAGATATTTCACATGAGAATGTGAAAATAACGCGTTATTTTACATATAGTTCTGATAACATTCTTAAACTCACTGTTGGGAAGGGTTGCCAGGTGTCCACTATGAGGGTGGACAGTCCACTTTTTTCTCATTATGTTTACTATTTGTTTTCACAAAATAGTGAACATATTTTGGAAAGTTGTAGCGCAGATTTGGTTGTGTGCGATGCGCATTTGTTCGCTGCCGTCATCCCTCTCACAATTTAAATTCAAAAAATGTATAATGAAATGGTACGTACTCTAAAGCTGAACAGTCAGAATATGATAGGAGAATCGTGTTTCGTCTTCTTTCATAAGTTCGAATGAGACAAAGATCGAGTATCCATTGAACTCTATTCTCCGAAAAAAATTAATCTTACTCAATTGTTTCCCAAGACATTTAATAAAAGCATATAAAATTATTTGCATTCTATTTATCTCCCATTTACATATATTATTTTTATAATACTCAACGTTGTACTGAAATTAAAGAATTATTCTTTAAACACAAAGAATTTAAAGCGGTGCAATCAAATAAAAAATACACGTGACAGCAAAGTTAAATGGTATTTAATATTTTACATATTACTAGCATATATTTGATGTTTTGAATTTAAGTACGTTTGAAGTGACTATTTTAATATGTGTTTAAATGTTTGTAAGAAAATATATATTTTAATTGTAAATTGCTATTGCATTGTGTTGCGGTCTAAGAAGGAGCGTGCGTCCAACGACTGCAGTGACTCGAGAAAACGTCGTCGCAGTGGAAAAATTGGTGCGGGAAAACAATCGTTTGACATACAAGAATATTGAAGTGTCCCTAATATTGAAGGGTCGGTACAGATTGCATCACCGTCAGTTTTCAAAATTCTTCACGAATATCTTCGTGTCAGGAAAGTTGCATCTCGATGGGTGCCTCACACTTTGACAGAATCGCAGAAGCGTATCCGTGTGGAATGATGCGAAGAAATGTTGAAAAGATTTACAAGAGGCAACTAGGCGCGTTTCTGACATAGGTACTCGTGACGAAATGTGGATTTATCAGTTCGATTCGCCATCATTCTTTTCCAAAAGAGGTCATATCTCAACTGTTCCACCGGAAGGACAAAGTATTGTTACTGCTGGGTGGTACACGACAATATGTCTACCACAAGGTTTCGCCAAGCTTCAAGAACGGCTGCCCAAGACAAGACTGCGCAGAATCGTCCTGCACCATGACTGCGTGTGTGCACACGGCCAACATCACAATGCAACTGGAGTCAACAGAGGTTAAACTAATCACTCAACTACTTTATAGTCCTGACCTGGCCCCATATGATTATTTTCCGATCCCTACAGTCAAAAGTCGCATGCAAGGAAGGAGGTTCTCCTTCCCCCCGAAGAAGCTGTCGATGCCTACAAAAGTGAACTTTTAGCACTGGAGGTAAATGAGTGGAAATTAAGTTTTGAAAATTGGTTCACGAGAATGCGAAAATGCAACGGTTATGCATTTTGAGAAAATATAATTATCAACATTATTTCAAGTTTCTTAGTTTTTGTGCATCTCAAAACTTACGTAGCAATCTATGTGAAAATCCGTGCCGAAGATGCTATGTAACATCAAGCAAAAAACTAGACCAGGCTCTGACAGAACTTGCTGACAATAAGCGTGTGAAACGCGGCCATATAAATTATATGTAACTATTATAACTATTATATGTAAATGCGCTATTGCGTGCCCTTTGATATTTATTATAAAACTTTCGTAGTGATCATCGTACTGTGATTTATTCACAGCTGCCTTCGGCAGGTCAACAGCTGTTTCGGTGCCATCCAATCGGGACCTTTACGTCACAACAGCGACGTCACTATGATGGCAATCAACCTTCTGATTGGATGACATCATAACAGCTGATTTACATCAGACTTATGAAGCAGCTTTCAATAAATCTAAGAATACTTTCATCACCCGTGAGTTATCTTTTCTGTTCCGTAACAAGAACAGTAATGCTACATATCCGTGTAGAATATATCTTGCAACAAGAGAGCACGGCTGCTCATGCCAAAAATGTGGGGTAAATAAGAAACAATTTCAACCTTGTCTTCAACAAATGCAGTCAGAAAGAATTCAACAGTGATTTGTGCCGTGCTCTAATTGCAACAAATATCCCATTTTTCAAGAATTAAAAACCCAGCGTTAACCAGTTCTTAACAAAGTATACAAAACATAAAATTCCAAATGAGTCAACTCTTCGTAAATATTATCTCACTCCACAATATGAAATAAAAATCAACAAAATTTCAGGCGGTATTGGCACTTCGAAATTTTGCTTATCTGCTGATGAAACCTCAAATGGCTGTTCGAGGCAGATTGCCAATGTTGTCGTGAGAAAACGAGACATTTATGGTCCTAGAAAACCACATTTGCTTTTGACTAAAGGATTAGAAGTTACTAACCATTCTACAATTTCTCGAGTAGTAATAGATGCTATACGTATTCTCTTCCCCGACGAAATTAATGCCGATGAAAAAATCTTTGTATTTAATTGGCTGTCCGGGTGACGTCGGCACCATTGCCATGGACGCGGTGTCACCCAGACAGCCAATTAAATACTAACTCCGGCCGCGGAAGCCTACGCTCCCGATTTTTTTGGCATTTCCTGACTGATGCAGCAGCGCATATGATCAAATCTTCCCAAAGTTTTTTTCCTACGTGTACAAATCTTCCCAAAGTTTAAAAGTCTTTTACCCGAATATGGTACACACAACTTACACAGTTCATGCACCTCATCGTTGGGCAGAAGTAGTTCGTCGGCATTTCCACGATGAAAACTGTTTAATTTCTGCCGGAAAAAAATATTCTGAAAGCTACGAGCAAAGTGGCAGCGTTTAACAAAGCTTTTCCCGACAACTCTCCATTACCATCACAATCCGTATTGACGAGATCCTGTCTTGAAGTCGCCATGTACTACGCGGATAACTTCAAAAAATATCACAGATTTTAGGAGATTTTGACTAAGACACAACACTTCCCATTAAGTAAGCCAAGGAAGTGTGGTCGTCCCCAAATATCCAGAACTACCTTTACTACATAACAGCAAATTTTGGATATCTACTCAAAGCTATTACAAAACTAGAAACGAGAGGTCTTGTGCTAACAGACGCTATTGGCATAGTTGGCACCTTCTAGCAAATGCTGAAGAAAGTGTGTGGAGAGGTAGGTAAAGCGGTTGAGTAAAAATTTACCAGTGTGTTTAATCGCAATCCCGGCTGGGAAATAATGTCTAAAATTGTTTCCATTCTTTTTGAAAACTTGAAGATATGTCTACAATCTTAACAAAAAGCATCAAAGAAATACGCCCCTATAGCTTTATGTGAGTTGGAAAGAACATTCTTCCCGTTATAAAGTAATTTTGAATGAAAGAAGGACTTCGTTCACAATTGAAAATTTGGAAAAAAATGTAAGAGCATATTTCTAGGGCCATCAAGCGCAAAAGGACGTTCGCGAATTAATTAAGATTCATTTTATAAAACTGGTGTAAAAATGATGTAATGTCATCGGTCACTATATATATATTAAAAAAAAAAAAAAAAGTGTCACAGTTGGTATGTCAAAAAAGGTATGTCACAGTTGGTAGTGGCGGAGGCCACTACCAACTGTGACATACCAGAATGTCACTCGGGTGTGATACGACGTAATTGATGTATCCAGAATATTAAAATCCAAAGAATATGCATCGATACGCATAGGGTAGCAACATTTAGGAGTGCCATGCTGGATGATAGACGGTAATTCTATTGTAACCCCGTCAATAAGCACACTAAAATATTAAATTAATTTTACTCATCGTTCAGTGACAGAACACAATTACAATTCGTTTTATAAGGCAGGAGGTGTCATCGGCCAGTATACGAAGTATAGTCGATGTTAGTGCTCCTGATGGATGAGGGCAACGTTTACGTTTCAGACCTTCATATTTAATGAAGACTTTGGCAGAGAGCAATTTTTACTTTATCTACCGTTGTGCGTTTCTCATTCAACAACATAGAAATCCCCTTCACCTATTTTTCAAAACTATATACATTTATCCAATAGCCCTAGAAAAACATTGCCAACATAAAGGAAATATACTCTTTGGGAGAAATGTGATTAAACATTTTGCATTAAAAGCATATCCCATAATGCAAAGAGTTTGCATCATCGAAGATACACAAGGAATATGTACACATTTCAAATTAAATAGTGACTTTTGACGAAGCTCCTGGGCATGGTTGTGCAATTGCAAGCTTCGTAATGAATTAAAGCTCTCGATTGGATGTGTTACAGCTGACGATCTTTCAGATGTCACTATATTAAAACGTATTGTATTTACTAAATCAGTTACAATTGTTTACTGTCCGTTACTGACTGAGATGTGTCTACTGTCCACGAGTCTTCGCCGCTTCGATTGCAAATATTTTTTCGTATCAGAATAACAGGACGTAAAACGTTTCTCTCTCAAGACTTGATCAGACATCAACTATAACTGAACAGCTGTCGACTGCGTTCAACGTGTACATTGTTGTGCAAAGATGTTGGTTATGTATGGTATGAAGTAAGAAGTGCATTCCACTTCGCGGTAGTCTGGTACAGCAGTAAATAGAAATTTGATATCAAGCAGTTGAAAAAAATCTCACAAAAAAAGGTAAATATGACAAGAAAATGTATTGGAAAATAAGTAGGACATATTAGCAGTAGTTTCAGATTTTAAGTAACTCGCGTTTAGAAACAGCATGTTTTCAGTAGTTGTTACTGCAAAACGTGTAGTACTGATAATTTTACAACTTGTGTTGTAAAGTGTATTCAATTGTGCAACTTATACATTTACACTTGCCTTGGTTGTCCAGTATAATTGGCAACGTTTTTTAATGTAATAATGGACAATCACAGCTGGTTTACTAAAGAAAACTAGCTTATCCTACATCTACAGAATAAATGTTGGATCTGAATAATTGTGCAGACCCATGCGAGTTATAGCAATGCAGTATCGGGATCATTAACTAGAAGATTCCATCACAGGATACAGTATTGGGTTCATTAACTAGTCGATTCTATTACAGGATTATTGAATTAAGAAACAAAAGTTCATCATAGACATTTTATATGCTAAAATTTGTTTGTTGAAAAATTGTTTAAGTTACTCAGTGAAATTGCTGTTAAAAGGTAAATACTGTATTCATTAAGATTTTCAAACTTAAGTTAAAATTGCACAATTAGTGAAGGAGGAAGGGATTTATTTTTTACAATATACTTAATAGTGTATTTGAAGATATTTGTTTTTAATATATCTGGTCTAACTTCGCTTTTTGATTGCAGGATATTTTGTTTACAAGACCTCATTTGAAAATGCATATTACAGTTGGAGATGTTGTATTACCTGGAGATCTCATTGGTGAGCAAGATGAACTGAAAAAAGTTGTATATGGACCAGGTCTGCGTGTACATCAGAATCAAATTTATGCTGTTACAAGTGGTATTTTTAAGAAAAAGCCAGATGCTAATTATTATTATGTGGATACGTTTCATCAAAAACGTTATGTGCCAGTGCGATCTGAAGATGTGTTAGGTGTTGTTACAAACAAGTCTGGAGACATTTTTAAAGTGGATATAGGATCCAGTGAACAAGCTTCCTTGTCATATTTAGCCTTTGAAGGTGCCACTAAGAAGAACAGGCCTGACATACAAGTTGGTGATCTTGTATTTGCTAAACTTGTTGTTGCAAGCCGTGACATGGAACCTGAATTAGTATGTGTAGATTCATATGGAAAAAAAGGCAAATTAGGCCCTTTACCTGAAGGCGGCTTCGTTTTTTCTTGTAGTTTGAATTTGGTCAGAAAAATTTTGAAAAAAGATTATCCTTTATTTAATGTACTTGGTAAGGATATTAGTTATGAAATATCAGTAGGTATGAATGGGAAAGTGTGGGTGAAAGCTGCCACAATTCCACAAACAATAGCAGTTTGTAATGCAATTTTAGCAGCAGAGCATAAAACAAAAGATGAAATTGATGAAATGACAAAACAAATTCTCAAGATGTTAGCATATTGCTAATATAAAATGTTTAGTTTTAAGGTCTTTTTCGGAACTTAAATCAAGGATGCCCATATCATAAGCTATTCTTATAATGTACTGATGCCAATTTTTAGCCAATTACCTTCCATGAAATGCAGCTTTTGTACCTTTTTTGATCAAACAACCCCGAAATCTACACTAAGGTGCATCAAGGCTCCAGTTTCACTACAGAGTTTGATGAACATCAGACCATGTCATTGTTAAGAGTACATTCCTCAGGAATGAATTAAACTTTTAGGAGTGTGTGTGTATAAAGGTTTCACGTAAAAACTTCACCCCCAAAACTAAAGAGAGAAAAGCCATTACATCAATTGGGTGAGAATCTTATGTACAATTAAGGTACCAGTGTTATTAAAAATAATAAAATATTTAAAAAATGGTTCTTTCTAGCAGCATTTCAATACAATTAACATACAAGAGAGTAAATATAAGTTGGAGAAGTTTTGAAGATAACCTTATTTACTAACCTTCATACAATTCTTTTGTGCATTCAAAATTACACCCAAAAATTAAAAAAAGACCTTATTGAATGATCTAATATTCAAGTAATAATTACATTAAGAAGAATCTTCAATCATATAGTTGTAGGATCCAAACGAACTTATGCAATTTTTGAAAATTAATGAAGTTCCTGTATATAGAACTGTAAAAACACTTTCCTCTATTTCAGCCAAACATGTAGTTTTTTTGAGAAATTTACAGAAATGTCCTTCATGTTGAGTACCCTCCAAAACTAAATGTTTGAATTCAAGAGACAGTAACATAAGTCAGATCAATCACGGAAAATCCAATGCAAGGTGTAGGAATTACTTTTGCGAAGTAACACATTGCATATAACAAGAACAAGAAAAATTGTGGTTTGTACTATGGGGACCCCACAAGGTTTTTCAGTAAAAAAAAATTGGCACTTCTCACAGAAATATGCTTTTCTTTCATGACTTAGCTGATACATAAGTATTCCTACTGCAAGTAACTACCAGTAATTGGGATGTCTTGGGTTCTATCCCTGCAAGACAAGGTATCTTTTAACACGAGTGCTTGCAGTGCCTGCCAGAACCTAATTTGCATGCATACTACATGGAAGGAATGTTCCATCTTCTCTTTCCAGGGTGTCAATGGCCAATACAGTTGATACGAATTAGTTAATTTAAAAAACAAACTGTCCACACTCCTCCAGCAATAGCAAAGAATTCCACAACATTTCTCCACTCATAACATTCTCCCATGATTCCTGGAATTTCTTTCCGTGACTTTCACACTATTCAATAAACAAAATTTTTATTCAAATAATAAATTTCTCTACAGAGACACTAAGAATATTTTCAAGATATGCTGTTCAATTCTTCGGACCATTTTTGGCCTTGAGATTTAATGGCAACCTGAACCATTTAAGAAATGTGAGTATTACCATTCGACATTGAACTGAGAAGTATCCATCAGCTTAGTGTGTTTTTATAACACTTAAATGTGCCTTCCAATACATCAAATGTCTTTCTTTGGGGCTCTTTTTATATTTCAATTGTCATTGTACACATTTTTTTCAAATATACATAGCAATTCTAAAACATTCATTGTTTCAAATGCATTGTTGCTTTTACTCAATTCACTTTATTTCATGATGCATGCAAGAGCACACACACTTTATTTTTTAAGAGATGGAATTCATTTTTTAATTGTAGCTGCAGTGACCTTTATAACTTAGCTTAATCAGGCTTTTGAACCTGAGTTCGAGGGTTCAAATATGATCAAAGCTGAATTTTTGGGGAATGAGAAACTCCTTCAGAGTAGAAGTGGTCTCGTCTGCCCCATGTTGTAATTTACTGCGTGTAAACGATTGAGCCTAAAAGAAGACTTATCTTAACTCAAAGAAGTTATAACTTAGGTGATTTTCTCTGCTAGATGTGAAAGGATAGCAGCGAAATTTGCATGGTCAAATGAAAGAGCCTGGTGGTCAGCCTCACCATGTAAAATAAGGCATTAACTGACCATTTAGATCAATTTATTAGTACATACAGGTAATCTTCCCAGAAGTTTTACGCTAAAAAATTGAAATTCAACTGTCTCTGTGAACTCCGAGGCTCTGTAAAGGCCATTTAGTCTATGTAAGTCATAGCTTTATAAGGCTTCATTCACAATAGGATTTATAATTGTTGCAGTTATTGTCTTGTTGCATTCTTAATGCTAAAAACAAAAACAAAAACAACAAAACTATATAATATATCCTGTAAACTTGTGTGTTCACTAATGGTCATTTCAAAAGTTTTGTGGTTCTGTAACTTTCTTTCCCTAATGAACCTTTTTAATGCCTATACAAATTAAGAAATCAAATATCAAAGCTAATTGAAACTTGTCTTACAACCAAAGAATTTTTTTTCAATGATTTCTAATAATACCTTTCAGACTTACAAATGCTATCAGCAGTGTTTTTAAACACATTTTCATACTAGATGTTTTGCATCTCAATTGTAAATTCTAGTTCTAGAGTTTGTGCAAGTTATTCCAATATATTCTAAAATAACTAAAAACATTTGGCACTTGGCGACTTCAATTTTCATTCCAACATTAATTCATTTATTCTGTCGAGTGGTACATAACCATAATAGCCAATACATGTTAACAAAATTTCCTTTTTCGTACGCATTTATTACATACCTTGAGTAAGTATTTGCATTTCTCTTTTTATTCATGAAAGTACTTCAATCAGAATGATAGCAAAATAAAACTTAGATCCATACATTGTGGAAATAGCATGCCAAAGGAACATACTGTAGACATTTGCAAATTTATTAAGCAAATTACTGTACAGCAATTTTTTAAAACTTTTCAGCATTTATTGGCACATTGAGACAGTTAATATAGTGCACCCCAAATTGCTGTAAATTCCAGGGCAAGTTGGGACAAGTTTTCTTGTGGATTAATGAATACCATTCTGCTGATAGTAACTAGAAGCAAATGCTAGAAATGTCATGTAGTCAAACACTTTCATCTGGCTATAAATGCACTTGGTATATTGTGGCATGGCAATAGTCCAAATAAAGAACTAGTACAAAGCAATGTCTATGATTTATTATGAGACTATCTGTACTGTAACTTTCACATTGCAAACAAATAATTGTTCAGTTCTAAGATACATTTCCTATAACACACAAAATCTACCATGGTGCTTCTGGCATGCCAGTTGTGTGGTCACTGTGTAGGGTAGGGTAAACATTGCTTATGAAACCAAAACATACTACACAGAACCCTCAAAATAGTGATGCCATAAACACCTATAACCCACTAATGGGAAGAAGTATATATACAGCATTAATTCATTATACAAATTCCCACTTCCTCTAAATCCCATTTGAGCAGCTGTGAAGCAAATGCTCATCAGTCGGATATGGAAAATCCACTTGGAGGGGGAGGGCAGGGGGGAGGAGGAGAAAAATGGGAGATCTCAAAATTTATGAAAATTATAATTCTATGTCGGGGAAATTTTTTTTCATAAGTAAGGAGCATATGAATTGCATGAAACTGTCATTCTAACTACACTGACAGATTCATTCAGCCATCAATGTGTGTCATTTCGCTTTACTGTATCAAAATTACACTCCACACTGCCATAATGTTGAACTCTCATCTCAATACTAAAAACTCCATGAATTACACTCAGATAGGAAATTGTTAAAAACTTCAAAATACCATGTCCAATAGTTACATGCAATGCTCTGTTAGTTCAGATGAATTGAAGGTAGACAAGGCTCTTCTTCATTACTGAGAAGTTTATATTGAACAGAGAGCTGTCATACAAGGATGGATTTGTATAGTAAGCAATTAAAATTACCTTAAACACACATACTGTACATGTAATATGGCATGTGTAATAGCAAATTGTGAAGCTCCTATGAATTTCTCATGAAAGTAGCATTTGCAAGGGATCATTAACCCAAATCCTATGTGTAATAGGGACAGTAAAAGTTCAAGGAAAATGTATTTCTACATGTAATTGTAAATACAACAAAGTACAGAATTCAAATAAAGCATTTTTCGGAAGTGAAACAAGAAATAACAATTGTTTTTTTGTGTGGAAAAGATGCAGGCCAACAAAACATATTTTTAATATATTTATATACAACGGAAGATCTTGTGGATGTAAAGGCAGTAGAAGATTGCTTGTTTTAAAATTTAAGATTCAGCTCATTTCCTGCTTCCATTAAAAGCCTCTACAAGACCACTATGGAAAGCTTAATACAAATAAATACTTGCCTTAAAACTAATATATAATGCTACAACACATCCTGTTAGGTTATATCACAAAGTAAACAACTAAAAAATATGAAATAAAGTTTACCACAAAAATTAAAGTTGGTTATGTACAAACTAACAATCTGCACTGCAGATCATTCATGAATCACTTTCAGGATCCACACTGTCACATAGGAAACAATGAACCCAGCATAGGGCATGAAAGAGATCCAGCAAGTAGAGCAGTCCTGTACCCACACAGCAAAGCAAAAGCACGAGCATGAGAGTTCTCTACTACTGTAAATTTTAGAAAACAAGTTAGGAAGTACGTTTTTAGACAAACCACAATTTAGCAATATATCTTCTTTCAGTATCCATTTAAGAAGTTTTCAGTCACAAATATTACATTTTAGATCTGTTAAATTTATTTTATGTCAATAAAACAGCAGCTCTCTCATATTGGCAAACTGTACACAAAAAATTAAATTTGTTCATATCAAAACACATTCACAATGAATTCATAGCAGCTTATTTTTAATACCAGTTGAAACAGACACATTTCACCTTCTGTGTAGCACCTGAATAAGGAATACATGTACGAGGATGTACAAACTACAATCAAATGTTTTATACATGCATCCAATTTGATTACATGATTACTTTTAGTTTCCGACAGTAATCACTTGCTGGGTCTCAAATTCATTTTCTAGAGCTTTAAGCAATAACTTAGAAAGAATGATACCTTTGTGCATCTGTTTCCTGAAGTTTGACTTTGCAATAAATTACTAATCAAGTAATATTTTCTATTGTCGCCTAACAAAAATACCTTGTATCAATGTAAAGTGAGACACCTCAACTGTACACAAGGTTACTAAAACCAAGTCTGACCTTCAACTGCCTAGTGCCCTTCATTCCTCACAAATTGCCATCTATTTAAATACAGAATATTCCAGCCAGGATGTGAATTATCCTCTTCACTGGTTAACTGTGTTTCAGGCAAGAGGAATGGGAGGGGAAAATTCTTTCAAACCACAAGCAAATTAAGGTTCTGTATATAAATTAGAAGGTTATAGTAACACTGTATATAGTTATTACATCTTAATTCATGCGATGCTAGGCTTCACGTTCACCAACCACATGTGTAAATGAGCTGGTCAGGTGAGAGTAGTTAGCGACACTCCCACACCTTCACAGTCTGATCTACACTGCCAGATATTACATACGGGTGTGTCTTGTGGAAATCTGCAACAGGACAGAAGAATAGTTGCACACTAACTTTTTCAGCAAATTTATCCACAAAAGTCTTTTAAATTAACTGTATTGTATTCAAACAAAAGATTTCCAACATCTCTCTAGACTCACCAACAGAAGTACAAAAATGTTGATGTGCTTCGAGGATCTTCATACAGCGCTTGTTACGGGTGTCCCAGACTCTTAGTGTTTTGTCATCACTGGCACTCACTATATACTTACCACCAGGATGGAACACTACCCCACGAACCCAATTATCATGCCCAACTAGTGTAAATAGGCACATGCCGGTACCAACATCCCAAACCTGATAACACAAAAAATTCCATTAATGACCAATATTCAATTTACCTTTGTTCTAACGTATGTACATAAGAAATTAAATTACAGAATGAGTAATGAATATTTCCATCTTCAAAACAATAATCAAATTAACCCTTTGCACTTTTGGAGAATCCCAGAGAGGACTCTTTGAAATGTCCCTGCAGTTCAGAAGTATATGAAGGTTATGTACCCTACAGACTCAACAGCATCCTCCGAAAGCCATTGTAAAATGGTGCTGTGGCTCAAGCTACTAGCTCATACAGCAGGTCCTCAACTTAACCATGTTACCTTCTATCAAATTATCAATAAAATATAGCTGGCAAAAATACAGAGGGTAGTTTTCCAGGTACACACAAGTTTTCCATGGACTTTTTCACACGTTTTTCTGCTCATTATTTAACCATGCTCTCAAGCTTTTCTCTGTTCTGGAGAGTACAATTTCTACAAAATCAAACATTAAAGGAAACCCTGATCTTTTGGTTTTTCTAGGAAACATGTTACTAACAAATATTCCACTTGAAATGTTAAATTTTTTTTTTTCACCCCAGCTATAAAGTCAAAGTTGGAAATGATGTCAAGAGAGATTTTTTTGAGGTATCTTATTCCTTACTTTGGCTTTCAAGAAACATCAAACCTATGGTTTCCAGTGGATATTGTGCTATGACATGACTAAATAAGAGACATACATTTAAATTTTTGGAATTAATAAATCGTGAAATATTCTTGAGCCACCCCTGATATCTTAATTTTCAAAATTTTGTTCATAACATAATTGTTTTCGCAATACAACAATTTTAAAAGATGTACAGTAATTGTATTTATAATTTGAATAGTTTCCACATCAATTTAAATAAAGTTACAAGCTCTCCCCATCTCCCTCTCTTCAAAACGGAATGGTGTTTTTTCCCAAGGTTTGTTTGGAGAGAGAACTTTAGTCGTAAGATTTTATTACTGTTTTCATTACATTTGATTCTTAAAATATGAATTTTTGAATTGTTTTGGACATCCTGTTTGGACTTCCATAACATTAATTTAGGGCTCTATTTTATAAACTCAAATATACACTTTGACAGTGATCTCCTACAAAGCCCATTATCATTTAATTTCCCCCCTTCATAATTGCACAATAAACATTGTTTTATGTGGCTGGACAGCAAATAAGCAAGAATATTTTATTTTATTTTTCCCATTCTCATTAATAATTAGTTCCATTGAAAATTGCTTAAACAGCTTTTCCTCGAGAACCATTTTGAAATAGGTAGGTCATGGAATATTTGGGACATTTTAGAACAGTGCTGTACTTCACGGCTTTTAATGAAAGTTTGCTAGAGATGGTTGATATATTAGCAGTATATTATTTATCATAACAATTTTAATACTATTATTTTACACTACAATACAGCTAGCTACAAATTTCCATGCTTAAGATTACACACCGTTTGAACAAATCATTCGACTACTACGTTCTTTTATTTGGAGTTGTCATGAAATACAACTTAAATTTCAAATCTTGAAGCATTAGTACAACGTAAGAACTAGGGCCGGATTTTCTTATAGGCTTCAACCTATGGCATCAAGATCAAGAAGGGCCTACAATCAAATTGTTAGCAAAATTAAATTTATTCCATTTTAAAAACAGTGAAAACTAAAACACTGAACCGAAAATAAGAAGTTCTAGGCTAATGACTAATAAACAAACATGAAACTGTATTGGTTAAAAATCGACAGATCCAGCTCAATGGGTCTATTAATTTGTGTACACTAGATTGCACCAAAGTATAGTTTATATGTTCACTGATTGCTATGGTAAATATTGACGTGCCTTACACTATTAAGCTCTGGTTTGTTCTTGCATAAATAAAGTGCAGATTGGTGTAGATTGGAACAAACCTATTGATATCCTGAAGTTGGGTTGTATTTGCATGACTTCGATAATATGATACTGTGTTAATGTTATAAGAAAAGTTTGTTTTAAGATTGTGTACACAATCATTTGAATCTCACCTTTAGTGTTCAGTAGGATCAATACTAGTGAAGTGTATATAGTCTACAGAATGTTTTTTGTGACAATACCGTCATTTTGTGGAATTCTAAGTTCTTAATGTGTGTTTAAATGTGCAATTTGCAATTTTTTTCAATGAGACAAAATAACAGTTCTTTACTATCTTGATTAAAAATGATAATTTAGTTTCATTATTAAATTTATATACTTCGAAAATATTTTTTAAATTGATTAGCGTTTAAAATTCAGAATTTAACATTATTATTTTAGAAACAAAGACTATTGTAAGAGACGTGCTATCATGGAATTGAGTTTTTGTTTTACTTCAATTTATTATTTGAAAATTATTAGTTTATCAAAAATTTTGATAAAGAAAAGAAAACTTACCAAAGTTTAAATACGTAAAATAATATTTTGATATAAATGATAATGAACTTTTATTTATGCATAATAATGAATAACTCAAATATTTAGTTCCAGATTCTTATCTAAGAACAAGTAAAAGATTTGAAAGTGGTGCTTACAAATACAAGAAAAAAGAGCTACAAGACTACGATGCAAAGAAGCTAACACCGATTACTGCTTACATGCATGTGCCAACTACTACTACTCAATTGGAAACATTGCAGCACGTTCTATGAGGGCACACAGCCATTGCACCAACTCAAAGTAAAAATATAGAACTAATTAAAGAGCAACTTGCTGAACACATATTCAAATGACCCACAAGAAAATAATATGAATATTCAGAATTTTTTTCCCGACACCTAATGAGAAACCTCACGTTCAAGATGTTGCAAATTTAGATAGTGATGTCAAATATATGTGTACTGGAACAGATGTTGGCTAGTGGACAAATTTATTGCAAAATGATGTATTATATTGGGTAGAGAAGGGCCCTTCTCAAGTTCAGTATCACCGTGGAACATTTTTAAATTTTATGTGAGGATATAAGTATCAGACCAGATTTTGTACAAAAGTAATTTTTTATTCCAAAAGCCAACGGAGAAAAATATACCCTACAATGGCTTGTGTACTCTTCCTTAAAAGGCTGTTTTTTTGCTTCGTTTGTAAACTCTTTGCAAATATTGCATCTTCTGCAACAGCATTAAGGGTTTAATGATTCTGAAGGGTTTAATGATTGGAAAAACCCTGCTACCATTCAAACTCATGTAAATTCGGAATAGGAATGCAATGTTAATATACTGAAGGCAGCTCCACACATTTGGCATTCGCCGAGCAGAGAGCTACTGCTCGCCCAATCCTGAACATCTGAAGTGTTCAGCGAATGTTTGCTCCCATTGATATGTCCCTAAAAACTGACACACGATGGGTAGGGTGAATACCGAATGTTCAATGCTTGGCGAATCACAAGTATCTCATCCACACTGCTTGGGATTTGCAGAATGTCACATATGTGGAGCCGCCTTAACAAGAGCAAAACAGAAAACTTGAACTTCAAAGCTAGAGAAAGAATTAAGAAAAGAGCAGCAATATTGGAGTTCCATTATAGAGAGAGTTTTCTCTGTAATTTGCACTCTTGCAGAGTGAGGCTTACCATTTAGAGGAACTGCAAATAAAAGCAATTACATTTGTCTTCTAAAACTAGTAGCAAAATTCGATCAATTTTTAAGAGATCATAATGATTGATACGGAAATACTGGCTTAGGAAAACTTTCATATCTGTCTAAAACTGTATGTGAGGAAATTATTCAACTTTTGGCAAATAAAGTGAAAGACAATTGTGGTGGAAGTGAAAAAGGTTGGCTGTTTTAGCTTTTCGGTACATTGCACTACTGACATTCTTCATACTGTTCAGTTGACCTTAATAATTAACTATGTCACCTGAAGACTGTTTGCCAACAGAGATTTTTAACTTTCCTTGAGTTATCAGATCACTCAAGGGAAGGATAGCCGATTTAGTATTTAACTATATCACTAATGAACTTGAAATTGATTTCAGAAAATGGTGAGGACAGTGTTATGATAATGTAGCCAATATGGCTGGTAGATATGATGGTATGCAACAAACCAACCAACCAAGTTTACAAGATTTGTTCTATGTGCTGGTCACACACTAAATTTAGTAGGTTGTTCAACTGTTGATTGTTGCCTTGATGCTGTCATTTTTTTTTGTGTTGTGAACAAAGTTTATCTCTTTTTTCTTTCCACAAAAAGATGAGCAATTGTGAAATAGCATTTTGAACCCAATTCTTAAATACGTAAATATTTACCAGACATGCAGAAGTTAAGAAGCTATTTTAGAAAATTACAATAATATAACTGATTCACTCTATTTACATTCAGATAATACAAAGGGTTATACTAGATTGAGGGAAAACAATCTTTTAGAGATGATGGAAGAATTTGAATTCATGTGTATGCTCCATTTCTGGATATAATTCAGAGACACTTTTCACAAGTAAATAGAATTCTTCAAAGCCCTAATATTTTACTTAGTAGTTGTGCAGATTGGTCCAGGTCACTTTTGGATATTTTACGTGGAATTAAGGAAGAATTTGAAGCTTTTAAACAAGCAAAAAACACATTGCCAAATACTGAATATAGAACCGTTAGAAGGATAATAAGTAAAAGGCATGGGAATTGCGAAAATTCATCTCACCCTGATGCCTTACACGAACTATATTGACATAAATTTAGAATTACATCACTTATTCCTATATTAGATGCACTAGAATCAAATTTAGGAAGAGAAGGAAGAAGCTATGATGATTTAGTGAAAATAGTTTTGCCTATCTGACATTATGAAAGGTAGGACTTCAAAGAGATTTTGAGATGTTTAAAGCAATAATACCCAGAAGATGTCAACCAAAAACTAAACCATTTCAATTTCCACACATGTGAGACTAACACAATTCTTCAAAAATTTCCGAATTGTCAAGTAGAAGAATCAAATAATGTTCAAAGAAAATATTCAAGTGGCCTTCCCCAAAGTGGAACCAATCTTATGGCTATTTCTCAGTTCATTGGTCCCTAATTCTACTGCAGAATGGTCATTTTCAAGACTTTAAAAATGAAGAAACAATTAAGAAGCACAATGATCTAGATGAGATTATTTTCTTTGAGTATTTTGTGTATTGAAAATGAGACCTTCAGAAAAATAGATTTTTATGACAAAGAAAAATGCTGTGTGAAAAAGATTAGAAAGGAATTCTAATAATTTAATATTTTGTTTTAAATGCATACTTGGATTGAATCATTTCTTAAATAACATGACCATCAACAAAATTTAACATCACACATTTTTTTTTGTCTGAATGAAGTTCCATTTTTGATTTAGTTTAAGACTTAAAATTCATACTTCAAATTTAAATGTGAATTATGAAATAAATTTATGTGAATTGAATTTATTTTAATATCCAATGTATTGAATATATGTAATTTCATTTGATAGAAAATATGATAATTTTTATTGCTTACAAGTGTCACAACTTCTTTTAAATTTACTATCCCAGCCACATTTTTTGGAAAAATTAGTATCAATCACACACAAAGTATTTATTTTATTATCTTGCATGTAATTTATGAATGTAAAAATGGGAGGGAAATGCGTTGCGCAAATATTGAAAAAATGAGAAAATAATTTTTGCTTTTAAACTGAATATTTATATGCTTGACATAACACCCATGGCAATCTAGTGAATGGTTTGCCATGAAAATTATATGAATTTTGCTTCCATTTCAAGTGTACACAGCACTCATTAACTGCTGAAGCAAGACTAACCCAGAGATAAATCCGTTCGTATTATCACTCATATGTAGTTGCATTTTGTTCGGTATCACTTCAAACGCACATGGTTCAGACTCAAATGTTAATCTCCTTGGAACTCATTGCAAACTATACATTAACACCAATGTCTCAATGTTTGGTATTACTAGTTTCCAAATGGTGGACTGACAGTAGGATGTATTTCCTGGTATGCAAGCGAGTCAAGATGCATATAATTTTGCATGGGTATTTCCTGTGTGTCCCCTGACAATTTGGACGCTGACATGCAATCTCCAGGTATATGCACATATCTTCACCTGTGCTCTTCTAAGAAACAAGGTGAAATTTCTATTGAGCATCCTCGCAGTGATAAATCCTAAGATGTTTTGAACAGCAAACCGATACCACTAACGTAGTCAAAGAAGATGCACGTCAGAAAATCTCAGATTGTATTCCTGGCGAGATCCTTTTCAAGTAAATAAATCATCTGTGCACATATCAGCCACTGACAATCGTGTAGGTACTTCGTGGTGTTACCTGGTACCCCATGCTGGACAACAATTAATACATACTCACAAAAACATTTTGATTTCTATTATAACTTTACTAACAGAAAGTGATTTCTTCAAAGAAAAACAAAAGTATCTCTCTCGCATAGATATAAACATCTCAAAAATTATGAAGATGCACAGAAGCAGAATATCCACTAGAGACTTTTAGAATCATCATTGCATCAATTTATCTTATAATTGATATTAATATATTAAGAGAAATAAAATATTAAGAAAATAGATCTCAAGCGCAAAGGGTTAATGAAATAAAGTTTAATTCTCTTACTTAAAAATGAAAAGGAAAGAGGAGATAAGTACGTAACTTTTAGTACTCAATATTTATTCATTTAGTATTTATAATTATGAGATTTACTGTTAGGATTTCTTTGTAAATATTAATTTAATTCTTAAGGATGCACAATATTATATACGTGAAAACATAGTAGTTAATATTTAATGTAACCACATTAAATTTTAACTACTGTGTTTTCACATAAAAAAAATATTTAGTATCTTAATACTGTTACAGAAGAAAAGTAGTACCACAGAACTTCTTAAAACATATATTTTTGCCAAAGTGAAATAAGGAAAGTTGTGTGTTTTACTAGTTTCCTTTTAAGAACAGGAACAACAACAACAACAACCCATTCAAAAAAAGATTTAGAGCTTCCAAAAAGAAATGGTTTTCTATGAAACTACCCCACCCCCCTGACATACACACAATCTAAGAAATTTAATTTAGGAAAAAACTTCACTAGCTACAATTTAATAATTTTTAAGCTGAAATTCTTCCTACATATCCATTAGTAAAAATTTAAAGAGAGAATAAAACACACATTTGCCCCCCAAAAAGTGTTCTTGCTTATAAAATGATTAATTAAGAATATGTATTTATAATGACAATTTTCATAAGAGATATTTTTCTCTTGTTTCCTATTTTAGTTTGAAAAACTTATCTGTTTTTCCAAGCAGATCTTGCATCATTCTTCGCAAGCCCAAAAAATTAGGTAGTTTACATATATAAAACAGAGAAAAGTATTTATTGAAATCTAGTAAATATATAATAACTAGATATTCTTCAATCACCAAGTGATTAGTTGATATTAAATTTTTAAGTTGTGAAGTTCATTTCAAAACTAGGAAGAGTTTTACCTTGATAGTTTTATCTCGGGACCCGGAAGCAAGGAATGGTCCAACGTGAGCTCCTTTCTTGTTGTCAGCACCAGCTGCCTCATTTATTGCTGAACTTGCATTTTCAGGAGCCCAGGCAATGCACTCCACAACATGATCATGATCACGTAATTCTACTTTGCACTCTTTACTTGCAACAGCCCAAACACGTACAGTCTGGTCATTTGAACAGGATGCAATTAACGAGCCATCCTGATAAACTCTAACCATTCGCACCCATTCCCTGTGACCTGTGAAAGTTTTAACACAGTACCTGCAAAAGTAAAACAAAAATTAATAATTTCAACTCAACATTTCCTCACCTATAAAAACATTAAAATAATTACAATAAATCCCTTATTCCATAAGCAGAGAACATAGGAATTTATTAACTGTCTGAGATTTATCACATCATAAAGTTGACATCTGAGCTAGAGTGCGAGATCATTGAAGTTCATACATACTTTACTTCAACAATTATTAGTTTGATTTTATATTTTACTAAGATTATATACATAAATCACGGATTATTCTTTGTTTTACAAATAATAAAAAAAGTAAGTGGCTATTTTTTTAATGGTTAAAAATTTTGGTTTTTACATTCTTGAAATTCTTATATCTAGAATCTACACTCTCTGCTAATTCTTTTCGGCAGATGACAATTTTGCAAAACTAAAGCATTCAGGGAAAATTTATATACAAGCAAGTTTCAATGCCAAAAATAGTTTTAACATCAAATTAGAGAATTTACAGGATAGTAAAAAAATGCACAATTTCATCTTGTTTATGGGTGGTTTATAGTAGTTTTGCAATGCAAGTAAGAAAATGAGTAAATTACATTAATCGTTTAATATTCTGAATGTAGTCAATAATGGTTTAATTAAATTGAGTATATTTACACTAACTATTGCAATGCATAAAATAGGGCTTAAACGATCACCAAATCATCTATTTTCAGACATTAAAGCTGAATTGGATGCCTCAAAGTAAGTTCTTAAATTATGTATGATTTTTTAATCCAGCAAAGGATACTACTTCAGGTTAAAATAAACGTACGTATATCATAATAAAACACTTTCAATATTGAACAAATAAGAAAATACAAAACAAGTAGGTTTTCATTAGGAAACAGTAATTAGACATGGCAATTTAAATCTTGAAATCCCATGGACCTTGAAAACCTGGGAAATTCAGGAATTGTTCTATATAATCGCATTTATCCAGCCACAATTTATTGTCTTGATAACTGTTGTTTTACTTCTCTACTTATTGCTTTGTACTGTAAATCAGTTTCAGTTTTTTTGTCACTAAGCCATTTTAAATACAGTCCTCTTTTCTTCTAGACTTGTGACCCAGCAATACAGTTTTTGTTTTAATTTACAAGTACCTAAAGCCTCCTCTGCGGCTTGGTGAATACACTCTTTTATGTGTTCACATTTTCTTTTTCTATTGGCCTGTTTAACCAATAGTTTAGCTTCAAGCCTTTTTCTATAGAGATATGCTGTACTTTCATCGAAAAGACTGCTTAATTTATATTTGGTAGGTTTCATGACAAATCCCTCTATCTTCTTTATCTGTGCTATTCAATGTAAATGGTATGAATATTTTAGCAATTACCAAACAATGATCGCTACATTGGGCTCACAGTTTCACTCTAACATCTTGTACTTTGAGTGAAGTTTTTTGCTGAGTTACACAGAGGTCTATTATAGATTTTAGTTTTTTTTTGTATGTTGGTACCAAGTATACTTATGAATATCTTTATATTGGAAGAAAGTTATTAATTTTCATTTCATACTCTTCACAAATATTAATAAGTCTTTTTCCATTGTCATGGCGAGTTTCCTCACCATGTTGACCCACAATATTTTTCTTGTCTCTTCCAACTCTGCCATTAAAATCTCCTGCAAGTATTATTTCTTTGGACTTTGGAATACTGTCAAGGGTTTCTTTGAGTGTCATTTCAAAATCATCTTTCTTAGCCATTGGGGCATCATCATTCAAATTATATACTCCTATGACACTTATGAATTTTCCTCTGATTTTTAACAGTACTTTAATATTTTCTTTATCTTTTGCAAAACTCTTTCATCAGTCTGCATAAAACAGCACAATGTACTTTTTACCATCTTCTAAAACCCACTTTAAAACTAAAATAGATGTTTGTTTCATAAAAGGTCCATTTATGTGATTAGCAACAGTGAATTACACATTTATCCCGAAGACAAAAGCATTTATTGCTGTCAAAATATTTGGAAGTTTCTTTTACATTGAATCATTACTAAACAAATTGCTCAAAATTCATAGAATCTATAGAAAATTGGAGAATATAAGATTTACAAATTTTCTCAATGAACACATCTTTTACTTTTCATTCTAGTCATATTTTTATTGCAAATCTTTAAATCAAAAGTTTATTGATTATTGACACATTTTTTCAATTTTTCTGTCTCCCCTAATTTAATTGAAACAAGTCTTTTTGAACACATAAGATCAAAGCCACTAGTTTTTATATACAAATTTTCAGGAACACTTCAGAGACAATGTTTGAGCATTCCTGAAAATATGCTCACTTACATTCTTACACTCTTGAGATTTTGAGAAACTTGTTAAAACATCATTTGAAACTTTTGTGTTCACAATTGTGTCAAAATATGAAATACAGCAAATGTAGATATCATGAACTTCAAAGAGGTTACAAATGTATACTTTGATTAGAAAGTTCTAATCAAAGTGGTGCTTATGTGAAGTGATTTAATGAAATGTTCTGTTTTTGTATTTAAAGTTTAAAGAAAAAAATTGGAGCATGTTTGCTACCCACATTGTGGTACTTTTGAAATAGTAACCTCTTTTTACTCTAATGAACAGCTAATATTTTGAAAAATTAGTACACAATTCCTATGAAGTATCAACATTGGAGAAAGGATTGTGAAACAAACAAATCTTTAGCTGTAATGGCAGTGTAGGAATCGTTTGAAAAACATTTTCTAAAATACTAAAGTTTTAACAATTTTTGTCATAGTTTGAACCATAAATTAATTTTTTTTATTAAATGCAACTACAATATAACAATTTTTGACATTTCTTTTAAACTTTAATCAACAAATTCGAATATATAAAATATTATTTCATTTGCGTTTTTTCACGAGTTTTCTGTTAATTTCATCAAATAATAGATATTTTACAAAATAATCAAATCGAACACCCACGATGTCATGGCTGCTTTCTTTACAATATAGTTATTTAAATTTCTTACTATTTATGCAGTTGTGTTCAACAGATTTGCAAGATCTGAGTATCTATAATTACTCAGTACCAAAACTTCAGAATTTGGTTTACTTGTAGTTTTAACCTTAGAATGAAGGTCGTTGAAACTTCACTTTGACCTGACTATGAAATGAAGCCATAATTTTGGAATACTGATCAAAATTGTGATGACAATAATTGAATATTTGTCCTGAGAAATCCACTGACAACCGTTTAACTGGAGGTCAAAAATAAGTTGTTGCAAAGTCTAGAACAAAATTTGGCAAGCAGTGTAGCCCCAGATCTGGGTTTGCAATCATATTCAACAAATGCAAAATTACAGATAGAAAACAAACTTCTTAGAAAATCACAAAATCCTGATATGAAAACACTATTTTCCTTATTCACCATTTAGTATTAAATCATAATAAATGAACTTTTTTTGCGGTTGATGCCACTTGACTAACACTAGAATTCTAGAACTGCCTTTAAGGTCATTCATGGTTAGACAAAAGACAAACAGAAACTGCTTAATTGAAGAAAAAGGAGAACAAGATTTTAAAAAAAAGTCATGGTAGAGGCAGTTAATTTTTGTTTGTTTGTTTCCTTTCCCCTCTCCTCCTATTATAATGAGAGTTGGCATGAGTAAGCTTTTAAGGTGAGTATGATCTTGAGAGTTTGTATTTCATATTACTTTATAAAAAAATTATTATCTTACCCAGTGGCAACCTCCCACATTTTAATAGTTTTGTCTCTTGACGAAGAAATGACAAAATCACCACCAGGCATGAATGTTACACTTGATACATTATGATCATGTCCATGCATGGTTTTTATACAATCATAATTCTGGAAGTCCCACAGCTTGATTGTCATATCTGCACTGCATGAAACTGGAAAGGAATATTGTAAGTTCAGTAGGTAATAAGAGGTAAACAAAAAATTAAAATAGATACATAAAAATCAAAAGTATCTGAAGGACTTACCCAAAAGCTTTCCTGTCTGATCGAAGCAAACATCTTGTACGGAATCTGTATGCCCCTTTAAAGATTTTTCGTAATCTCCAGTTTCAAAATCCCAAACTTTCATAGTTGCATCCTCACTAGCACTTACCATAAGACTGAATACTGGATGAAATATAACCTGTAATTTAATGTCATTTCCAATAAATAAGCTTTAATCTTTTAATGAAATAATTAGGAGAAGTCATTGACAACAATATTGTTTATTACATTAGCTGCTATTGTAAGAAACAATATTGATGGCAATGATGACTCAAATATTTCATTGTAAATGCCAACGAAAACTCACTGCAATACCAATATTAAATCTTTTAGTTGAAATTACCCTTCATTGATAATTTTCTTGCAAAGGATTGACATTAGTTATGTAGTTTTATATCATCTTACCCTAGTAACAGGGCTTCGATGGCCTGTAAGACAGTGTTTCTCTGGTGGTCGGGGAATCCATTCAGTTGGCGACCTCTTTCCTCTTGTAGGAGCACCTTCAATGTATTCCTTCTCGGCTTCGGATAATTTCGATTCTAGTTCCATCACCTGATGACAAAGTATTTTAGCTTCAATGAAGAAAGAAAGTCTCCACAAAAATTTAATACGAGTTAAATAAGATGAAATCCACAACACTGAATTTATAAAAAGACAAAATATACACCTTCTTTTGAAGTCGAATAACAGATGTCCATTTCTTCTCCAGAAGTCCACCATATTTGCGCTCAACTTCTCCTGGCATATCAGCCTCTTTCTTAAAGGCTTCCAAGGCTCCCATATAACCATTGCTGCTGAGATAGTCTGCAATAGCCTTATTTCTAGAAAAGAAAAGAGAGGAAAGTTCAAAAATTGTCAGACTTCAGATTCATCATCTATATTAACCATTAAAATAACATTGTTACAAAATAAGGGTCAGATCTCAGATTCAGCATTTTCTCATGCTATGTACATTAACCTCTAGTTGAACATGTGTTGGTCTACACACTGCCAATTTTATTTCTTGTAATATCACTAACAAATGATGTTACCTTACTCTGCAAGTGAGTAGTTGCAATTTATATTTTTGTTGCAAGAATTGTACAATTAAAGCACTCTTGGTATCCTTGTGGATGTCAATGCAACAAGGAAAACACAAGAAAGAAATACAAGAAGAACAATTCAAATAATGAAATGTAATGAAAAGAATTTTGGAATTTTATATTACAATCTAAAAAATTATGTAATAGCAATTCACTGGTACAAAGTTTTGCATATTATTTTCAGTGCAACAGAATCTATTGTTAACTTTTACTGCAGTAAAACCTGTTCAATGCAGAACATGTAAAACCAGAAATCTGTTCAAAGAGAAGACAAACAAAGTTCCAGGCAAATTTAGAGTTTATAACATTACTTTGTATACTGTGAAATCTTCACTACTGCAGAACAAAATCTGGTTCCTTGAAATTCCACCTTGAGCAATTTTGACTAAAATGTTACTTAAGAGTGCTGTGTCAATAGCCTGTTTTGAATAAATTTTTTTATGAAAAGTAAAGGAATAAAAAGGAGAAAAAACTAATAAACTAATTATTAATATTAAACTTTGAATGTTTTCACATTGAATTTAAAAAAAAGAAGCAATTAGATGTATTCCAGGGACAAGTCAGGCACACAACTACAAGAATACCACAAGTAAGCACAAGTAAGTGTAAAGTTTCTTATAACATCGGAGTTAAATATAAAAACTTCAGAATGTAATTTTTGTGAAAATATTAATAAAATTCGTTTTTTGATTTGTGGCATTAGTGTTAATTTTTTAAAGAAGAATGCCTGAAAGTGTGAAAAATGGTCTCCACAATAAATTTTTATTTTTCATTTACCTTTATCTTAAGAGTTTCATTCACTGAATAAACTATTGTAATTTGCAAATTAAAATCATTCTACCATTCCTATCATTCTACCATTTAAAAAATTGAAAACTAACTAGATACTATTTTATGAAGTGTGTAATTAGCAAACTTCATCCTCAGAAGAACAGCGTATCATGGAAAAATTCGTCACCCACTGAACAAACTTTTGTTCAGAAATCACCATTTTAAAAACCCTTTCAGTTATTAGTTCTTAATAAAAGTTTTAGGTTTCCTTCTGAGTTGGGGGTCCCAATTATTCATGCAGAATGGAGGTTTAACAGGAGCTGATCATAGAAAGTTCTGTACTTTTTTACTTCTAGTCACAGAATGTTTACTCAAGAATATCACGTCATCATACCCGACAAAATGACTATGTGAAATAAATGCCCTTTTATAGAAGAGAGACTACTAAACAATTATTTGTCTTTGTATTTCACATATTAATACACCATTATATTTCTCACAATTAAGGTACTATTTCCAAGAACTATTTAAAGTTGTTTCTTGCTCCATGAAGTGCATATAATACATTTTTGTAAAAAGTAGACATGTGCAGTTTTGCAGGTGCAATGATAGTGCACAGTTTACACAGATTAATTATAATTAATTTAAAATAAATTATTATCAAAACAACGAGTCTTAGAAATTATTATTAAAATGATTAATTTTCATTTTAAGTAGCCTTTCAAGTTGTATTGAGGATGTACTTTATCTAACACTTTATTATGCTTAGCTTACCTACAAGGACAATGGATGTAAATAATGGGGAAGAAATATTAACAAAATCTTTCATCATGAGACAACTAATTTCATCATCAGTTTGTACTGACAATTTGTAAGTAAGACACAAACTAAATCACACCTCCAATAGAAAAGTGACAAGTGCAAAATCGTAATTTTTCAGCTAAAAGCTGACAAGAGGTTAACAAGGGGTACTGCTACTATTCTGAAGTTTATTTTGAATTAGTTCAATTACTGTACGCTAGAAGGTGAATATTTGGTACAATCTGTAATGAGTATTGCAGAACTGTGAAACTTGAAATTGCAATTTCTGAGAAATCGGAAATTCGCACTTGTGTCACTTTTCTATTGAAGGTGCGAAATGACGTACATTTATCCTCCAGTTATTTCATTTCTCTCAAGGTTCGAAATAGTCTATTAAAAACACATGATAAATGGTTTACGAGAGGGAAGCGACAACAAGAAGACTGAGTAAACAGGAAAACGAGAAGAAAAAAATGAGCGTAATTATTAGAGATGAGCAGCGCTTCTCTCAAGACAAAACACGGCTCGGGCGAAGAATTAATGCTGTTTCTCTTTCTACGCACTAGTCTCCCAACATGCTCGCCCGCCGCCTCCAGACGGTCGTCACGGCAACCAGGAATTTCCTGCGGCTCACCCCGATCAATAGAGGGTGGCCTGTGACGTCACGCGGGTCCAGCGAGATCGATCTCCGCAGCGAGTGCGTTGGCGTCAGCGAAGCTTCTGAGCGCCACCCCATCTAGACATCTTTCGGCAATCCCTAAATGCCGACAGCTGAGATGTAGCAGCCTTGAAGCTCGGCTGAAATTTCGAATGATCATGTGTGTAGTGTCGTCCATTACAGCCCAATCCGAGAACTGCATCTTCGGCTGTACTCTTCGAAAGCGAAGGCTGACAAGCAGTTCTGCGCAATTGGAAAACTATGTCTGGAGGTATGTCAACATCCATCTTCACCCCCGTCAAATAATCATCCTCCACAATTGGAGACTGAAAAAGTAACTATCGCTTACAGTTGTTGATTATCGCTGACATCTCTCGTATAGGGGTATACAGTGCAATCTCTTCTTGTTCCTGAACACAGTTCAACTTTATTTGTTTCCAACAGCACTCCAAAATCATAGCTCCTTACATTATTCCATTCAAATATTCACTACAGATCCTTCATTTTAATAGGTGAATGAAATACACGAAGGTCCCCAGAACATTTCAAGAAATATGAACCAACCAAATGATTCCATTATTAGACTTACCTAGGACTTGATTTCTGTCGGAACGCGACGAAACATAATGCGGAAGGGGGAAAAAAAACCCTTGGAAACCTGAAGATTTTTAGTTCGACCTGCTTTCATAAAACCAAAATTAACTAATTTTACACTGTACCGTATAATTTTTACGAACGTAATAAAATAGGTAAAAAACGTTAAATATTATAAACCCTAACTTTTTATGTCCTTGTCAGTGAATTTATCACTAAATATTAAAAAAATAGTTTTTTTGAATACAAGGATGCAATTTACAGAATTACAAAAATAAAGATTTAGCGTTTTGTAGCATTTGCACAGAAAATTATTAAGGAATGACAAGGGATAACTTTGTGATCCATTATTTTGATTCTTTGTAGATTTTCCCCATAAAATTCAGAAAATAAGAGAGACTAATTTAATATGCCGTTACTTGTAAACTTTAACAAATATAAAAGCGTAAAATGGAGAAGTATAGTAATGCGCGCGCCGTACAGCTAATACTCCTTGAGACAACTGAGGGCTCAGGCTTTCAGGATCAGTTTTTTAATTGTTCTTATTTTTATCTTTGTATTATCATTTAAATCTTAATTATAAGTTACAGGTACTCTAAAATTAATGTTTTCAAACGTCAATGTGTTGGCTGATGTTGCATCCCCAGTACCAGAGGAAAGCAAGGAAACTGTAAAATTCAATTTAGCAATTATATCGAATTTTCACGACCATTTTTCACTTTATTGCAGATTGAAATACTACAGAAATATTAGCGGTCAAACATGCAATTACAATATTTTTCCAGCGTTTGGCAACATTTCGCAATTTTAGCGATCGCTAAAATTTATCGTACCTACCTATTATTACCCCTACATTCATTTAGAGCCAATGTTACCACGGTTACTAATTATTAAGTATGATTTATAATTATTAAAGCAATAATTAATTGTACGCCCGTTCCAGGGTCTAACATTTTATAAATAAAATACTGGTTATACCAATCAACACTGAATACGTGTGGCGTAGGCAGGGATAACTCGTAGCGGCGACGAGATTGAATTATTTCCCCTAGAGAAAAGAGCTGCTCTGATCGAGGAGTGGGCGACGGCTTTCCATACGAAAGGGCGAGAGGTCGCGCGTGAGTGGGCGTCACGCCGCCGCCCTGCGAGGGCGAGGGCAAGGGCCAGGGCAAGTAGCATTACGCCTGGAGGCCAGGGTACAAGGTGCGCGCGCGGGCGAGGGGAGTTGATGGGAGCTGGACAGGAGGAGAGAGTCGTGAGTCTCGTCTGTCTTTCAGGAAACGCAATCACAACATTCCAAGCGGCACTGGCGGCGCAGCACAAGAGTAGCGCGCATTCGTTGGCTCCGGTGCGTAGCGTGGGCGGTGGCGGATTGGGCAACATCTTTTTCAGCCACTCGCAAACTTCTTGTTTTCCGCTCGTTCGATTTCGCAAAGGAGCAGTTTGCGAAACAGTTCGGACACGAACAAAGTATCGACGTAAGTGGACATTCTCTACAGTTCCGTTCGTCCCCAACATTCTCCACAGCTGCGTTAGCGCGATACCCACTTCCAACCATACGCAACACACGAGTTTGAGCTAGGGCCTTGTGCAGAGTTACATTGATGACGAAGAACGACGGGAGAAACGTGAATTAAGAAGCAACAATTTGAGCTAAACTCATTTCCCAAATAATCAATAGCGTCAAAGTAAGCTGGTACGTTGGTTCGCAAATTTTTCGCTAAAGCTGGTAGCATGTATGGGCGAGTATCCTCGCATTTACTATCGTCTTAAAAATAATTCAATAAAGTCGTTGCAAAATAAATTTTTTCCAATTGCATGAGGATTATGAGGTTGTAGGCAATTTTGGAGCTTGTCTTTCTTTCAACTGACTACGGTAGATATAGTCAGTTTGTTGAACTCAACATAATTCGAAAAAAATGGTTAAAAAAAAAAGTTTGACGCTACTTTAAAATAAAGTATTTTATTTTATATAAAGTTTATCAATTAATGCATCTAATTGTTTGACAAAGGCAAAAAACAACTTTGTAACATTTGACCAAACCGAGATCCATTTAAACTGCTTCCTTTCTCTGCGGTCTAGCCCCAATGAAGTAAAAACCTAATTAACAAGGGAAGTCAATTATTTCCCCACATCTTTTACCTTCAATAAAATTACGTCAGTTTTCTAAGTTTTACTTATAAGATGCAAGTTGTTTTAAAATATGAATACTAGTCTGATTCTACTAGTTTCATTGTCACTATTATTTTCTTATTCCTGATCTTTATTTTACCGTAACAGCTTCACTCCGCGTGATCACTTAGGGTAATATTAAAACCTTAAGGGTAAAATAACAGCTTAATAGCAGCAAGAAGGCACATATCCTGTCGTCCACATTAAAATTAATTTCTGACCCACAGATCAACTCTAGAATGTCGAACAAAAAGAGTTCCAACCCTCACGAACTGTCGCCGGCAGAGCGCCCTCCCGTTACAGATTCGCGAACGCTCCAGACGCTCGGGGCGCTGGCTGCTGCAGCGGGAAGAGGTCGAGAGTGGGGAAGGGCGGAGTAGGAGAGAACAAGCAACCCTTGCGCTCCCAGCTTCTCCTACGGCGCCGCGGCGCAGCCCCCTCCGGCGACGCAGCGTCCCGCCCCCGGCCCCGCCGCCTCCGTTGCGGTACACAGAGTGGCGCGGCGCGGCCCCGCCCTGTTCGAAAGCGGGAAGCGGCGGCGGCGGCGGCGTCATCCGTACAGCAATGGCGTAGAAAGTTCACTCGCGATAGAAATCACACAACGGTGGGGTACATCACACAAATTTGCGCTTCCTGGAGGAGACGCACGAGCTCTTTCTTGGGAAAAACCAGACTCTCATATCCCTGCAGTTCACTGTATTCTTTTAGTTTCCAAGATTAGGTATCTCATAATAATAATAAAATTGATATTTGGTACCCTTACCAAGTGATATAGTATTGCTGCTTAGAAGCGAGTTCTACTGTTTGTGATGGTATCCACACCTAATATTTCAAATAGAAACCTAATATCAATTATCTCAAGTTTAAGAAGAGTACATTGGTCAACTTCTGAAAGGTTCGTGTCAATGTGTCGTCGTTTTCGTGCACATTAACAGTGAATGAACATTTAGAGAAATCGCTGACCGGCATATGCTAGTGATTTAGAATTATCCCCTCCCCCCATTACGTCAAGTTTAATTTGTGGGGAGCTGCTATTATTATTATTATTATTATTATTATTATTATTATTATTATTATTATTATTATTTATGAATTATCCAATATTATACAAATGAAATCCAAATAAACTAGGAATAAAAAATCATAATATTGATATTTCAAAAACAAATCACTAGTCCTTTAAGGGGACAACGAATGTCACAACGTGTGTGCAACATGCTTGGAATGTTTAAAAGAAAACCTCTGAGTATGAGAAATACAAAGCGAAAGGCAGTAACCGCGGTCAAAAGATCACGTCTGATTTCCTTCGACGGACCGCTGCACCACGTGGAATCAACCCCAAACGAGCGGCCATCCCTTCGAAACGGGACGAGCAACATGCAGGGCTGCCATCATTGCCGGTGAGACCGTAAAGGGGCCAAGGCCTCGAGCTTCCCAGGAATCGAACCGTGGCCACCACGGAGCGGCGTGGCGCCGCTCCACGCCGCCGCCCTGTAACGGCGAAAAGGTCAGAAGAGCCGGCGCCGGCGCCGCCGCTGCACGGTTCATGGCCCCAAATGCCACCGCCGCGTGGAGGCATCGCAAGCCGGGGCTCACAAACCACCACTTTTCGCGCATAAGAAGAGAATTATTCAAGTCCTGCCTCTTCATTAGGAAACAACGGAGGCGGCGCTTCATCGTGCGAACATTTCACGACGTTACTACTTACGTACTGCCTTCCTGGATTTTTTTTAAAACGTGAAACGGGGTTTCCAGTTGTTTATTTTAGGATCGACACTCACATTTTCTTTCAAGCGTCCAACAACACTATTTTCTAAATAATCTACAACAGTCCGCATTCACATGTCACAAGCCTGATTAAAACATACATATTCATTGCCCCCAATGTAAAAGTTTGCAAACCATGAAGAAACAAATCTCGCTGTTTTGGAGTATTTCCAGGAGAATCATTTCTAGTATGGTAAATAATTGCGTGTCGATGGAAATTAACTGGTATGTTGAGCAGTCAATAGAATTCGCTTTGAAGGACGTTTTATGTTAACTCGGAAATTATGTAGTTAATATTTTTAAAAAAATAATCACGACGCTGAATAAACAATCCACAATGTTAAAATATGAGAAGAAAAAAACGGCAACACGACGAAATGGAGAATCATGCAAACGCAGAAGTTTCTGCAACTACAAATTCCACAACGAGAACCGGAACTTTACGCGTGCGTGAAGGGGTGTTGCAGCCGTTCCTCTGCATATTGAGCGGCTGCACTGCACCGGCAGACGCAGAACGCCCCACCCAACGGGGCGTGCCCCTGAGCGTGGCAGGCGTGCACTACTAGGGGCCCACGCGTCCCTCCCCCAGCGCCACCTCTCAGCAGGTGCGGCGCCCTACGAAGCCGACTTCCGCAATACGCTCGACCGGTGCCATATCACCAAGTTGGAAGTTCTCTCAACTACCACAGACTTCTAGCTTCGTTTTTGAGAGCAGTTCTGAATTCCCCTGGTCCAACTGATACGAATGAATATGTACCGAGTACACTGCGCTTTAGAATGGCCGTTCATTTCGAAAACTATTCAAAACTAAAACCGATTTATGTACAGATTTGAGAGATGTTATATTGTCTCCCTCAAAAAGGGGAGACAGCTTCTGATCCTAAAGACAATTCTCAACACAATTACTATGGAATGCTCTTGCTTCAAGGGTTGATGGTAAACAAATTCATAAATTCTAATACATTTAAATACGTAATTTACACTCTTGACCACCTACTTCACCAAAACTGACGAAACAATGTGCATGTACCAGTGTTATGCAGTACTGAAATGTAAATATGTGGTACTCGCACCTAGGCCCACCTACGTTGATTTTACTGTTATACAGTTACATTTGCAGATATGAGACAAATTGGAGAGTATGGGCTTGATTGAAAATTGGTACTGTGTTGTTCTGTTTTCATACAAAATTTTCGTGATTACTCCCAGGAGTGGTGGTTATCGGACCGATGTTCCCCTCATAGTATACTTAACATCTTGTGTGCGTTCCCAAAATTGTATTATTAAGGTCGAGAACTGGAGCGAGATAGAAACTAAGGAATTTTTCACATTAGTTATTGTTTAAGGGCACGCTGCCAAAAAATATTTTTTTGGATAGGACTTCCCCATAAGCAGTACAAAATTGGAAGCCGATTTTGTCTCTATAAAATGTGGTGTTAATGGATCTATTACTGGGGGGTACAATTTGATAGTTTTTGCGCCAAACAATGCGGTTTCGCAGTTTGAGGTTAGACAAGAAGGACATAGTGATTTAAAATACAGCAACACCAAATAGGCTTCACTTAACAGATTTCGTTTAGCGGCTCTCTTGATTAGGTGTGGCGCTCTGTACACAAAAATACAATAATAATATTATTCATACATGACAGTCTCTGCAATTTTCGAAATTGTTTCGCAACCTCTTTAAATAAACAGCAATTAGCATTTACGCCAATTATAGCGAAACATTTCTGACAAGTTTGAGATTTGAGAAATCGAAATTACAGAAACATGAAAGTTATGCCGTAGAGGCGCACACCTTACAGATGCTTTTTTTCTTTCGATTCTAAATTAAGACACCATACCATAATATGTAGAAGTGCAAGGTGCCACCAAATGATGTGGTCCAACGTATGTTGAGACGTCATTACCTATGTCGAATAATGATACAAGGTAGACACCATTATCTCAAATCCCTGGTATGATTATCTCTGGTATCCCCGTATTGCTTTTGATTCTAAAAGAATCATCCTTACACACTTTTCGTATCTTTGCCGTTTTTTATTAAAAGTACATTTTGTGAATAAGTGAAATGAAAACTTGTTTTGGAGATACAAAAGGGCTGTTCCAAGACAATTTTGCTCCGCGCCATCTTCGATTTTGAAGAAATTTTGTTCGCCAAGTTCGACAGGTCCCAAAGAAACTTGAAGTTGCAGTTTTATTGGAGAAGTTGTTGGAGATACAGCGTTGTTTTACAGAACCGAATATGTATATTATATTACCTCGTAAAATACAAATTATAAAAAAGAAATGAATACACGAATCTATTAACCACCATTCAGGTTGTCTGTGAAAACTGCATTGCACTATCTTCAACCATTGAAAATTGGAAAGATGATAAAGTAACGTGAATCACTTGTTTATACATTAATATATAATAAAAATGTTTGTAGTAAATTTACAAGTTCCTCTATTTTTGCCTTCTCAAGTTAGTACGGTGCCGAATAATACCTCTCCCACTCTCGTATGCGCAGTAGTGAGTTTTGCGTAAAAGACGGAATTATATAATTATACATATATTAATATGTTATAGCATTTGTTACTCTGATAGTCAATTTTAGTAACAAGAAAACTTAAAGCTTTCCTCTCCAGTAAGAGTACGATTATTGCAAGATAATTCCAAGTAGATTTAAGCAACTGTAACAAATGTAGTGTGTTTTACTCACGGATCTTTACATAGTTCAATCCAAAACAAAATAAATTTAAAAGAGTATACGAATATTTTTAACACCTTTACTAATGTCATGAAAAGCGTACGAAAAAAGCATTGAAAAGGACGAAACAAACTGCGACGAGTTCCTCAAAAGCAATTTGTTTTCCACACTAAGCAGAATGTGACCACATCAGAAAAAAAAAGAGCGGCTTCAACACAAGAATGTAATTCTCAAACTCTGTTTTGTTCCAGTACCCGTTTCCGGTACACGGAACATTACTTGGGAACCTTCATTGACGTAAATAATGAGGTCATAAGGGACCAGTATTCGTACAACCTGAGCAGTGGTCTACTTTGGAAGGTGAATGCTGCGAGAAAATTAACTCCCTTTAAGGTAGCCGGAGAAAGGCAAGTCCGAGCACTGACGAAGTTTCTCTTCTTGGTTAACAACAGCCAGTGAAGCTACGACACAAAACCGTCGTTACATCTAATGAAGTGCACGATCTCGTCTCTCTGGGGGATACGTCATCTTAGGGAAACTTTGCCCATACATCGACTTTGTTTCGACCATACGAACATTCAGTGCGTTCTGAAGGCGGTCGGATAATCTAGGTCGAAATGTTGATAACTTTGTCAATGACGCGCGGCTCTCGAATGCTCAAGCGGATAACTAGAGCTCGGAAATGCCATATAACTATGAAAATAATTAATGTCATTAGGCCAATATCGAACAATTAATCAAATTAGTTATTTGTGATATCAGCCGGGTCGTTACATACTTTTCACAATTTAGTGCAGTCATTTTACCTAGCAAAAGGTGACGAAGACCTTTTTAAACATTTTGTTTAAGTTATTAGTAAGAAAATCTTTGGGTTTCCACCTCGAAATACTTCGATAATGATGATAATAATAACAATAATAATGTAGCAAAAAATAATTATAGGCCATTTTTTGTTTTTTGCGTAATAACATTTTAATTGTTGATCTTAGTGCAAAAATAATTATGTAAAATTTTAAAGTTCATAAAATTCTCAACAATTTAGCTTTATATATATTATTTTTCTCAAGTAAATAGTATGAAACTTCGAGGATTTAAAATTTCATTAATTTCCCCTTTTCTTCTGAAGTTTCCCCCAAATTACGAATGGTCTTTCTAATGCAGTATTTTTGGGTTCCGAAGTCACTACAAATAAAAAGCGATGTTCTTAATACTTACCAAGGTTAAACTCTCGAAGCTCTTTAAAAAAAGGGTGTGCAATTATTTGACATTACTAGTAATTTTAGTGTAATTTCCCCATGAAATTTCTAAAATAATTATTTTTCTATAATAATTTAAGGGGCGTTCAAAATGGCACAAGTCTCATTTTCGTTGAACTACCCGTATTTTTGAAAGTGCAGAACTTAACATTTGGAAACTTCAAAATTGAAGATGGAGATTGTCTTAAACAAAATCTGTTCTAAAAAATCAGTTGAATATAAAATGTCATGTTCGTTTGATTGCAAAAATAATAGTTTTGGAGAAATTTCTGCCTGAAATGATTGAATTACGAGGGCAGGATGGAAAGTTCTCAGCCTGACAATGAAAGATTCCGACTTTCAGTTAAAAAATGATTTTATTTTTCAACACAATCTCCCTTGACTTCTACACACTTGGTCTAGCGTTTCTCCAACATCAGTATTCCTTCCCGGAAGTGAGAGTCTGGAAGGTTGAGAAAATATTCATGTACGACCCTCTTAACGTCATTGGTTGGGAAGCGCTTTCCAGAAAGAAATTTCTTCGGAAGTCTGATGCTGTCAAATCAGGAGAATACAGGGGATGAGCAGAGCAAATCGTACCCCAAATTTCACAGTTTCCCCATTGCCAACGAACCCTTGAGCACAGGTGCATGGTTCTGTTGCAAGATTTTCTTCAAGCCAGGCCTCTTCTTGCCAATACGGGCATTCAGCTGGTGAAGATGGTTGGAGTAATTGTTCTCCCTTTTGCAAGGTAATCAATTAACAGGATCCCATTCAGCATCCCATACACACTGGTCATACCTTTTACGGCAGATGCGATAGTTTTCACTTTCTTCGGCGCTGCACCACCGGCTTCTACCCATGCTTTGACTGCTGTTTCATTTCTGGCGTGTACTGGTGGACCCATGTCTCAGCCATTGTGACAAACCAACGCACAAATTGCAATAGAACGTGT